ATGGTACAGTGTTGTAATGTTTGTCATACATAACAAGATGATTACACTTGCCTACAACAAACAATACACACAGATACTACACTGAGAATAGTAAGAAACAAACTAAAAAATCATTCAAAAAAAAAATAACAAGTTAATCAAATATTGCATGCTAGACAAAATATGCCATCCAAATCCGATTAACTAATCAATTATAGTTAAATTAAAAAAAAAGTCTAAACTAAACAAAAATTATTATTTTCTCTTTTCAATTTGAAAAAGGAAAGAAAGAAAGAATTCAGTCAGTCAGTTAAAATAAACTTTGTTTTACTTTAGTCTACTATTTCTGTTTTTGAACAAGACAAAAGTGAAAAATTTCAGAGAAATAGGTAACTAAGATTTGTAAATATATTAGAAATACTAAATAAGCATAGTAGAATTACAACCATTGTTTTAAATTTTAAAAAAAAAATGGTTGTGCCACGGATGTATCATCAGTTGGATTTTTTGATCATATCTCTTGTCTGTATCAAATGCTGTGCTATGGCTCCTTGCATAGAATAATTAAGAATCTTTAAAAGATGGCCGTTATACATACAGATCAGATTATGAAGAAAAAAGGAGTCAGTAAAACATAGTGGTTAATTTACGACGAAACTACTATTACCGCTGATGCTCATTAGTAGGAGTGATAAGAATTTGGTAGACTGTTTGTAAACCAAATACATTAAAATTATACAGATCAGGTTCACATTATTACAGCAAAATTCATTAACTTTATGTGTGAACATTGTTTAATAAAAAGTTTTAAATTATTTTATATACATATATTCCTTATCTACTAGTTGGTGAATATATTTCCTGATAAATTAGATAAAAGATTAGTTCAGAAAATGTCTTTATTCTATTATAAAACAAACTGTGTTATACGTTCCTAAATCACTTCTCTGTGAATGTAAGTTAGTCTATCATGAATCACGCAGAAAAATCTATGACAACTTTCCAATTTAGTTAGTATAACTGAAAATGTTTTTAGGGGAATTTTGTTATCTACTGACACTACAAATACTACTACTACTACTACTACTACTACTACTCTTTGCTAAAAAATAAGTCACAACCTATTTTATAGTCACCTTGTTCCTATTACTGATATAATCAATTTTTAACTTTGTATTCATTCTTTCAATTCATACATTTATCAAAGCCTGTATCATTTTTAAGTGTATACGTTATCCATTTTTATTGTTTCATATTCTTTCGCTTTCATTTTCTCTACTCCTCTTTCTTTTTTTTTGTTAAATATCTTCATGACAGCCAATACAAAATTTCAAAACATAAAATTTATCGTTTTTTTTGCATTGTATGTGTTTGTATGTTTATGTATGTTTGTATGTTTTAAAATGATTTTTAAGCTCAGACTAATATATAAGTTAATCAATATGAGTATTTATTTTATTGAGACGTATTTTATAAATTAAACTAGTGTTTAATTTTCTTTTTTTTTGACAAAACTTGAATGACTACCAAAAAGAGAGAGATGAATGTTAGCAAGAATTTTTAATTATAAAATTTATAATTACGGACTGATCTTAGTTAAACAATCATTGAAAACGATAAAGCACTGGATATATTGTACATCCTATCATGGGTTAGTAGAGTCGTGAGTATCTATGGCCGTACAGTGTGATCGAAACCTAGACCTTTAGATATCAAGACCAGCTAGTAATCTTTAAACCACTAAGCTGGCATCCATTGGTTTACTTGTTTCACTTCAATCAATTTGTGATATTGTTTAATCTTTTGCCACTATCGTTTTTGGATAACTGTCTGATACTTGATGGAGTTGAACTTTAAGAATTATCACTCAAAATTATGTCCACTTTGAAAATATCACTTACATTGATTCATGTTAAGATAATTTAAATAGTATCTACTTAATTGTGGGCAGAACAGTAAGCATTTGCAAGAAAATTAAGAAATTTATGCTATATGACGTAGGAGCGAACTATCATATGATGTGTTCAATTATATAATGAAACTATCTTAACAAAGCCGTTGGTTTGTATATAACTGTCAGCTAACAGACGACAGTCTGTTACTAATATGGCCAAACAGCTATCGAAAATATATGTTTACTTGTATTGCACTGGTGCGAATGAAGCGTCATTATTTCTTTACATTCATATATCAAGATACAAACACATAAGCACACAAATTTATTTTTCTGATACTACGTCAATAAGCTTCATCAATTATTCATTAAGTGATGAGGTTATTTAAGTAGTTCGCTAAATTAGTCATATACTACTCAGATTTTATTTCATCCCACGTTTTTTCCTTTTATGTTATTAGTATGTCACTGAATTATTTCCAACTAATTTTACAAGATTCTATCACTTCAAAAAGTAGAGCAAACTTTTGAAAAGAACTAAATACCAATGACTGATGAAAGGGATTTACATATAATTTTAACCCACCAGTAAGAGCCGAACTTTACAAAAATTCAATTGTTGATGTTCTCAACAATGTCAGAATGATTAATACCATTTTGCAAGCGTGAAGAACTCATTATATATGGTTAAGAAGAGAAACTTCTATATTCGCCTTTTAAGAGGATCAAAGCATTATAATATATTAATTTCTTATGATAATTTTCTAAACTGTCTCTATGTTATGAGAATTTGGACCGTTGATTCTTGATCTATTTTACTCAATGGGATCAGTAGTGTTGGTTTATTTGAGAAGAGTGTCCAATCATTTTTGATTTTGATTACAAGTACCCTGTCATTATATTTCGAAACCTCATTCAATCTTTGCCTGATTAGTCAAGGATTTTCTCTCTTCTCATTTAAATATTTCATAATTTACTGCTTTAAGTATCGTTGGTGTGGCATATTTCACACTAAACTTTAAATTTTATTATGAATACTTAAATAATGTCTAATTTCCCAATGTTTCACATAATAGTGAACATCACTACTAATAGGTGCTAAGAGAGTACACTAGAAATAAAAGTATTCGATGAACTGACATTCTGAGAGGTTGCTTTACTTTGTAAAATTTCTGATCACCGTGTGAATACAACTGGCAGTATGAAATCCTTGAAGTATTCCAGTCATAAATACAGTTCGATGAACTGAGCTTTTAGGTAAATCTAATCGATCTGCTGCTTCATGTTTAATTTAGAATTGAAATGAAAATGAATTAAAAATTAATAATAACATATTGTGATTCATTGATTGAAGTATGGTATTATCAAGAGAATAACAAGATATCAACCAAATATAGGCTTATACTTATTAGAGGTCATTGTTTCCTATAAGAAGAAAAAAATTCATCAATATTTAATATACATGTTAGCTTGGCAGTTTGACTTATAGTTTTGTTTCATTGTGATATATTTCTATAGAAAACATGAGAATGAATAATTTCAGCCAGTTCACTTGATTTTTTTATAAAACTTATAATTTAAAGAAACCTCACTGGTGATCACTGTGTTATAAATTATTCCAAACAAAATATTTCAGAATTATTGAATATGAATTACAATGACAGGTATTATTATGTTGATGTTCAATGAACTAATACCAAAAGGTGGGGTTAGTGATTTCGAGATGATGAGGAGTACTTATTAGTCAGGATGACAATTTAATGGGTATAAAACTATGATAAACATATTGTCATACACTTTTATGAGTTTAAATGAAATACCATGAGAGATCTAAGCTATCAGGAGTCAACAAATGTGTTCACAATTCAGAGCAAGTATTCTGAGGCAACCTGCTATTTACAGCACACAAAAGAAGACATACTGTGATGAAATTTATTTTAAAATGTCTTTTTAATCACCAGCTTCAGAATTCTTCATTTCTCCTGTTTGGTTAGGTGGCAGAAAAATCTAATTTAACTTTAATTTGCTAATTGTTATCAGTTGCTTGCAATATAAATCAAGTGAAAAGATGATGCAAAGTTGTATGAACAAAATTCACAGTCTGTAATGGAATTCAGGGAGATGATTTTCATTCGTAAGGTGACTAGATTACATTTTCTGGAAAGCGGAAGGCCTAGCTTAACACTTATTACAGTATGCGTAAATGCATTTTCAAGTGAATCATAGCGGTAAGACAAGAATTATGTTCATCAGATGATCATAACGCAGCATCCTAAAATGACTGAACGTAGACATTTAGATCAACAGATCTTGACTCACTATTTAAAATGTATGGTCGTATGAATCATGCGTGCACACTGTTGAGGATTTTCAAACGAAGATAATACAACTATTTGATGACCGTTGGTTTTTGGCGATTTGCCAGCTAGAGCCAGTCTGTGATTGAAATCATCTCGAAATATGCTGTTTCAGGTCTTTAGAATCATTTTGGTAGTACTATACTTCCTTCTTTTGCGGTACATTAATAGTTGTGGTCATTTAGAAACTCATTCAGTGAATGTTAATTTCAATGTTATAACTACAGAGAGCACATTTTTTTGTTTCTGTTTCATTTTATTCTGAAAATCAACTATTTTTAATACAGGATACATAATGTTAGAAAATAAATATCTATTTTCCAAGTGACCATTTTATTTCAAATCATGTCATCATACACAATGAACAATGCATTTATAAATTCAGTCAATTTAATAAATGTAGTACTTACAGTCGGTTAACCAAATTAAATGCAACTACACAATATCTTTTCCAACTAAATACTGTTTCGATATCTTAAGAATGATAACAAATATTATTTATTCACTATTATTGTTTTTTGTAAACGGTGATGGATTGAAAAGGTATTAAATAACTAATATCTACTTTAATCCTTTTTGATAAGTTTAAAATTTGTTATCTTTCAGTGAATAAACATACAATTTTCAATCAATGAATAGGACTGTTGTTAATGATGGAAGTTCGATGATCACTAAAACAACTCAATTTTAATAAACTATTAACGTTTGTTTTTATTTAAATTTTGACTAAACTATGAAGTTACTAATTTTTTTGAATTCGTAATTTTTAGGTTATGATCGTTCTATACCGGGTTATTCAAGATTCAGAATAATTGGTGATGTTGGACGAGGAGAGCATACATTACAAATCACAGATGTTCAACGTGATGATGCTGGAGAATATGAATGTCAAGTTACGCCAGTCCCGGTTAACAATCATCCATTATTGAGAAGAAAAACGTATTTAGAAGTTCTTAGTAAGCTTTCATTGAACTCTTATTGAAATTAATGTTTTGCTATTATCAGCCAGTTATTGACTTATTTTAAACTAGTTGTGCGCAGAATTCAAACTTTTCAACGAGTTGAACCACATTATTTATTGAAATAATATATACTTAGCCATTAATAATAATTATCTATTTATTTACAACTTCAAAAGTTTTCTTCTTCAAAGCATAAGAACATACTTATTTATAAGTATAACAAGGTTTAAAGTTTTTGAATATTTTTTACACAACTCAAAGTTGAATTTTGCAGGTTCGTTATTAAAAAAAGCTGCTTAGGTTTTATAATTTGTCACATCGTCATTTAAATAAGAAAGATAGTACAACTTACAAGAAAATATTTAGAGTTTAAATCTTTACACTTTAAAACTTCATCGTAATCATAGTCCTGGTTGATAATCTGTTTTTGAAAAACTGTAATTGTACAAATCAATTAATTGCCTCTCTATCTCTATTAAAATCTAAAGAATAATGTTACAAGCATTTCTGATTAAGTTTAATTGGTTTTGAGCATTTCCTACGCAAATGATTAAAATGAAACGAAATATTTTGAATGGTATTGTAGTAAACGTAAATTAATTAGAATAACCAGAAACTAGATTTGATCATTTCATTTAAAACAAATTTATCACCATACTCATGTTCATACATATATAGACTGTTTTCACCAAAAATCTGGTCCGCAATAAAATGTTACTCTCATAACTATCTGTATCCGCATAAAACTCGAAGATGGTCAGGAGATCGGTTGAGATACAGTTGTAATTATTCATTTATATTGATTATTTTCATTATCTCATTGATAGTTAGCAGATACATCCAGTTGATAAGCCTGAAAGAGGATGGGACGTAAGTCCTGGACACTTCTTGTGACCATCCATCTGTGATTATACAGTTTTGTTTTAATTTACGATATTCTGTCAACGGAAAAGTTTGTTATAACAAGAAACTACTAGCGTTTCCTACCGACAAAACATGACACTTTTTAGGTTTTCATAATGACCTCAGCTGTTAAATCATTTCAAACCAATATACAACAGACTGCATTTTGTTTCCACTCAAAAATATTCCTTCAATACCTTATCACATATCATTTGAAAGATTATCGAATTTCTCAACGACTCTGGTGACATTGGACTTATCGATTTGAGTGAAAGTGTACGCGTTATAGCTTCAGTCAATTACTCCATATTTATCAAGAGCTCTTTAGCTGATATTATTTTTAGAAGAAATATATCATTGCAGATGATTACTAGCTTTGTTACTGCGAGGTTGCGAAATATCCTTGAAAGGTTCTCACTAGTTTGAATTTCAAAACAAGTCATAGCGAACAACTGATTATTGGTTTAATTGAATTGTGTAACTTAATTTTTGATAAATATGACCATTACTCATTGAAATATTATACAGAAGAAATATAAATTTTGAATACGTTATACACTTTGCGACACTTGACTTCAATAACTTAGCTTCCTCGTTGTCACTATTATTTCATTAAACTACAAATCCTAAAACTGATATCACGAAAGAGTGAATGATATTAATTATCGTTTCGCATTCTATGTTTTCTTTTTGTATTTTCATTCAGTAAAACCAAATGAACCACAAATTTTTTATCAAAATGTACAGTTACCCGACAAAAAATTAATTATATCTCAACCTGATCCTATTTTACGTATTAGTTTGGTGTGTTCTGCTGCTGGTGGACGACCAGCTCCAAATTTCAAATGGTTACTCAATCGTCATGAAATACCGAATTTGGAAGTAAAATCTAAAACACCAATGAGTCCTAATGAAGTTGCAAAAATGAGTAAGTTATTTATATCATAAGAGGTTATTTTATTTTACCCAACCTCCTACTTCCGTTAAATATAACACTGAAAGTAAACTTTCAGTAAAAAAGTTTAGTGTAATGAGACACTTGAAATATGCTTCATTATTTGTTTTTATACCTGACAGAAAGTCTAGTGCAGACTTTATTATCTACTTGGTAAGTCAGGTACAATTTCTCAGTGGTTGTCTGATGCATTTAACGATGGACCCATGACTGGTCTCCAATTGTAAAAACAATAATAAATGCTAAATATCATAGATAGATAGATAGATTTTGAATAACGCTTGAACAACTCCGTGTGTGCATAACTTGATTTACATTGTGATTTCAAAACACAGAAAGATTTCTTGTAATGGAGATGAAACATATGTTATGACTTATATGTATTTAAAACAGGCACTTGAAATGCGTTTATGTAAAATATAGTGCACGATGCCAGTTGCATATCTTATCTGTCAAAAATAAGTCACTTGACTACATGAAATAGATCTAGGCAGTAAATTTTTTTTCAATGTATTCGGAAATGTATGCAGTATCAGGGGTCAGATACAAAAAATATATCAAAGTCTGCGAAATATAAATATCAGGTTATTCAGTTCGTTTATACAGGTATGATATTTGAAGTTTCAGCTCATTTTCATCCAAAAAGCCGTTGAATAATCGATGGTCTAATTGGCGTACATTGAGGTACACATCGAAAAACACTTCTAAACGACAAAACTAATCTAACTTAAGTAGGTTTACATGGAAATCCTGACGATGAAACAACTATAAAATGTCAAATAATAAGTCAATCTTTTGCTGCCCTTTAAATACTATTCATATAGCCTGAAGAATTGCCTTATTTTTCTTCGCTTTTAACTAGTTGCAGATTATTTCCTACATGATTTAGCTTTATGTCTTCATTTCTTTCAGATAATTTGCTCAAAGTTTGGGGTAAATTACATCCTATTATCACTGTTGAAGAAAATGGAGAACAATCCACTATGAGTATTCTGAAAGCTGGTTTAGAAGATGGTAATGAAATTGTATGCAGTGTGTCAAATGCTGCAACACAAATTAATCATGATCCAATGAAACGTAATTTATCAGTAGCAATTACCGTAGATGTTCACAGTAAGTTGGTTATCACTTTTTTGTAAAAATTTTCTATTGCATTTCGCTTTTTGAATCTATAAAAAATGTCGAATTGAAGAATTAAGCGATTAGTTATCTTTGATAAACATCGAGTTTGTAGTAATCACTAGGTATATTTATCTAATAAAAGGGAACTAATTGTTCTGATTATCAACAGTCGGCACGATTTACAAATGCTTCCTTCACTACCTTACATCTCAATAAGCAGAATGAGTGACAAAAGATAATACATAACGTACGAATGCAATTAATTATTCAGCCAAATATAACCTTGTGATAAACTGTACTACAATGAAAAGTCAGGCAATTTGAACCCAACTAGTTGTACAACAAAATGAGATGTTCAACGTGATTATACAGATTACTTGACAAAATTTCAGTTGACCTTTGAGATAACTTAACCTCTAGTATGTGGACTAATGTTGAATTAAGTAACTTTTACTTCATTAGTACATCATTTTCAGGAATAAGTACGACAGTGTATACTTTTTGTAATCTCCAGATCAATTGTCATAAAGCATTTCCTAATTTTTCATCACTACAGTTTCTTTCATTGACAATATCAGGAAAATCCACTCTGTATTAATGTGAATGACTAAATGCCTATGCTAACGTTCTCTTCTGATATTAATATATATCACAAAATAAATCAATGATATAAATGATACCATATCTAGCAAAAGTCATATAAGAATTGTTCAAAATTGATCTGAAATTAAGAATTTAAAGACAGTGAAGCACCATTAAACGAAGAAAATCGCAACATTTCGAAATGAAAAATGAGAAAACGATACAGATTGTTGTTTTTTCTTGAAAGAGATGCAGTGCATTTTCTGAGCATTACTATGGAGTCTTATATATTTTAGTTCATCTAGTCGCCTTTCACTAAAGATATATATATATACTTTCAGTTCAGTCAAGCAATATTTCATTTACTGTTTCTTTCCTTAGTGTGTATTTATCTAGTAAATATTAGGCCAATCATTTCGTTTAGATATACATCCTTTCATACATGTACCACAACTGTATAACCATGGAGATTGGTAAAAAAACATGCAACATGATTATGACTTGAAATATGATTAACTCAAAAATAAGCCAATTAAGTGAATAGATATTATTATTATTATTATATACTAGCAATGTAATGATAAAAATCAGAGACTTGCTATTGTCATTAAACAATGTTAAAGTATACAACTGCCAATTTCAAATTGGTTGTCTACATTATTATTGTTATTTCTCAAATAATCAATTCATTGAAAATGTGTTCCTACCAAAACTAAAAATAAACAGTCTGCATCATCATACAGTTTAAATAAAATATTTTACTACTACTTATTTATTTTTACTATAGAATGAATAAAACTATAATAAAACTATAATTCAGTTCATTTACTAGTGATGATAAATTTCATAAGGAAAAATATCTTTATATCACATGACGGTAAAAACCTATAATATTCACTAAAGTTTATATATATATATAAAGGTGTTTTAATATATACGACTAATCTACTTTTAAATTTAGAAATCATTTATTAAACTCTTATGAAGTAGCAAGATAAATAACTCTTCCAAATCTATGCCATGTCAATTTCATATTTCGGCATTATAATGCGAAGTTCTGAAAGTCAAAGTTTCTATTCTTTCAGTATTGTACTGCTTAAAACATGAAGTGATTTTAATGGAAGTTAGCTCGAAATCGATCTCTAAATTTCGTTATTTTCATCAGTATATGAATAAAAGTTTTAGTTGATGGAAGTTTAGAAAAACTCTTTTAGGTGCATGATTAACATCCCAATGAAACTAATATCTTTATTCTTTCTACTTGATATACATAGCTATGCATTTTCAGGTTTATGCGCATGTTAATGATTGATATAATCCATAGCACTTTTCATAAAAAACAAACAATTTCCATCTTGCCGGCTCTCTCTCCCTCTCATCCCACCATAATCAGTAAATAAACTTGAAAATTGTTTATTTATCATCTCAGATTATAGAATATTATCGAAACTGAAGTTGATTCAAAAACATTTTTAATAATGATTCATATTAAATTTTTTTATTGTGATTGTTAAACCTCTTTTAAATAATATTTTATGTGGTTCCAGGTTAATTATTGATAAGTTATGAGTGAATTTCCTAAAGTAAAGTCAAGAAAGCGAACTTAACTACAATGTATTCGTGTTTTTACATTACTTTCACAGCTCCTCCTGGTCCTCCAAAAATTGTCAGTCCTGAATCAAATCATGTTTATCTAGATGGTGAACAGTTACGTGCTGTGTGTATTTCCTCACCACCTGGTAAACCGTTAGGTGGACTATTTTGGAGATGGTTAATAAAGCCAAGTCAAGTTGATGACAGTGATATTCAAAAAATTAGTGGAATCGGGGGAAAAGGCGGTGCTAGACTCAGTGATTACACATCAGTTGAAGCTTATTTACGAAGTTTAGACAGTAGTAGTGATGGTGGTAATGGCCCCTCACAGAAAATGCTTATACCAGAAACATCTAATCATTTACAGCAAGGTGATTTCATTTCTGAAGATGTTCAACCGCTGCACTATACACTTACTAAAGAGAAAGATCAATTGGTAAATACACTTATCATTCAAAGAATTACTCGTAAATATCATGCTGCCAAACTGATTTGTGAAACTGGACATCCTGTAGGTTCAGCTCATCAAACAAGCATTACAATACTTGTAAAATGTAAGATATTTTTACTAATTTTATGCATCTTGGTTAGTAAATGTCATATCAGACTAGTGTAAATATAAATGATGGGTTTATAAAACGAAATTTCATCATGAATTTATTAATTAACACTATCCTATTATTTGTTTCGACTCTATCAGTCTATCAGTCGGTTCCAGTTATACCTAATTATGTACTGAAGTTATTGTACGGTTAAATGAATCAAATATTATGATGTACACTTTTGTTCAAAGATAAGAAATCTACAAACCTGATGAAACCCAATCTAGCTTCATAATGTAGAACGTGTTTGATTGGTTAGAGGTTATATCGTAAGATTTCAAGCAGCTAATAGACGACCAAGTCCTCTTATAAAGATTTTCATGATCTCAAGTATAACGAGAAATTTTGTAACTTTTAGATTGAACTGAAAAATAATACGTACGTATCATGAAAGAGTTAACTATGGGTTGTAAATATTTTTTGTACACTAAATTCTATGTTGAGAGAAAGCTAACTAAGAAAGTACTGTCATGGATCTATTAACTACCGAAATATTATGGGGATTTCGTGAGTCAGCAAGTAGTTTAAAGATTTCAAGTTAAACGCCAATGATGAAAACCAAACATACTGAATCATAAAATGGTATAAAGTTCTTCTCAGCTGGCTCTTTTTAAACTGCTGGAAAACTGTGGCTGAGCACTCACGCTTTCTTAATCATGTAGTATTTGCATTTCAATGTGTTTACGTCCACTAAAGCCTTAATTTTCCTTGTCACTTTTCAATAAATAAATAAATCTAAAGTAACAATGGATATTTGATGCATTTCAATTATTTGAAAATAGAAAGCTTAACCCTAATCTTTCTTTTTATCTACATAAATGAGATTGACAATAAACTTTTCAACTTTACGAAGTTAACTGAAAATATAATCTGTTGAATTAAGAATGTTATGTTATATTTATATTGACATAAATGAGTACAGTGAGAATCCAATTCACAATGAAAATCATTGTTCTGTACAGAGATAGGTAAAATAATTATAATTGAAATTGTTTGAAAGTGAAACATAAATCATATATCCGTTTCCTTTCTTCTCATAATTTTGACAAATATTTACAAGATATAAAACCTCAGGTGTGAAGAAACTGACAGATGACAATGATAATTGTGTTAACACTGCCTTTTTTTAAAACAAAATTTCACAAGAAGAATAACGTAGTATACAATATGTCACTAGTGTAAAGTAAGATTTCAGTCAACTAAAAGAATACAATGAAGAAATCATTTTCTTTACCTGGGAAAATTTTGAGTGATAAACTATTTTTGGGAAGAATGATTTCTGAAATATATCTTAGGAGATATTATGAAGCAAAGACTTTTAGAAGAGGTTTTTTTCAAAGACATAACACACCCAAATGGTCTACTGTCTAACAAATTTTGATGTTAAGCAGTCAGTATATTTAAATTTCTCGTCTCGTTTTGATTGATGTAATTCGTCGACATTAGAGGGGGGCCATTATGTTACTCAGGCTGATCAGTGTAAATAACAATTCAATACACCGCATTGTGTTATTAAAGTGTTAAATAAACTTAATGAACAGTTATTGACCATAAAATAATTGTAACCAGTATATGTAAACAAGAAAACGATAAAATGTTATTTACCATTAACAATTGGTATTTAACGTCTGCTTAACTTAATATAGCACCTCATAGAAGATTAATTCCACTTCCAGTCCTTAAGATATTTTTGATTAGAATCCTTAATAAAAATAAGTAATTTACTAAGTTTTATTATCGAAGCATATCTTATATCTTACATGAATACCCTACTAATCCATCAAAAAACCGATCACATTCTAATAACAAACGCAAGTTTATAACAACTAGGAGTTGTAAAAACGTTTTCCCAGTCTGCCTTGAGGCAACAACACATTCAGTAATGTTGACCACTACTCTCACATTTGCTCAAATATCTAAAGGGTTGTTACTTTGTGAGGAATACCATGCATGCATCAAACCGGTCTCAACAAAACCTATTGCCAACGATACATTTTGTCAAATTATAAAAAATTACACCTCAAAATCAATATGACTTAAGTTTTGGATCATCATACTGACTGCTAAGATTGAAACGTTTTGTCAATAAATCACAAAAAAATCATTTTATCAGTGTAAACAGTATCGATAGAAGTGTTTTATGTGATTTTCGGTATCACAATTTGATTTATAAAATCTTCTTTGTATGGAATGAATTAATAATTAACACCAAAGTGTACAAGCTTACCTGTAAACTGATACTATCGTATTTTATCAATGATGATGACAGAATCACAGACAGGAATAAAACAGACTTTCTTTTCAAAACAATTATGAGAACTAGGATAACCACATTGTACAGGTTAACAATATTGTAAATATCATAAGCTGTTAAATTCTTAAATTCATTAAGCATTAAAAGCATGTCAGTATACAATCTTAGAATTCAAATTTCTCTTATGATAAAGAATCAGCAGTTAATCAGTACACTGAATTCGTAATAAAAGCATTAAACAATATCATTTATTAAACCACATCTATTCAACTGACTCGTACTACTTTATTTCAAGTAATTCACAGTAGCATATATCTGATCATACGTTACCTACAACTGACCCAGTTTAGTCTTGTAAATACAATTTTCGTAATCATTCTTAATGTGTACACTCAATATTGTTCTAGTATTTCTTGAAGTATGTAAAGTGATTAATCTTCAATCTGATCAATGTAGTATACAAGTTATCAGTTAAAACCAGTCAGCAAGAATTCTTCACTCGAAAATCCATAACTGCACAACTTTGTGAAAATGAACTTGGAACCTTAATGAACCGAAAGCCTCTTCATGAAGTTGAAACTATTTCACTCAAAACCATAGTTTAAAATATTCACATTAGACAACAGAACACCCAAATTCAAAAAACCAATAAAGTCCCTTCGTATTAGATTCAATTTAAATGTATCAGCGTTAACTGTAAATAAAAAGTTCAATCTTTAGAATACAATATATTTTTAAAGTATAGCCATGGGTTGATTACTAAAAATGCAAAACTAATTTTGACAAACTATAAAAACTATGCTTCAAGTTATTATATTCTTTCATAAATGTTATTTTAATCTATAAACATGAAATTATGCAATATCAAATAAACAACTTGCAGTAGAGATGGGCTCACAAGTTAAATGACCCGTGGTCTGATTCCAATTTACGAGGACGGTCAATTATGGAGACAGAGGTGAGGATGCAAAGCATTTAACCAAAGCGAGTCGAAGTGGATTAGGCGAGCGTGCCAACCCTATGTGAGTAAGCATGTACATACATACTCAAATAAATAATCAAGTTCAACATAAAAGTACACAAGCTACAAACTATTGTTTCGATCGCCGGTCACAAATATTGTCATTATTAGATTTTTTAGAATTAGTAAATTTTTTAAATGTAAAATTCTTGTTATTTTTCAAGTTTCATTTAACTTTAATAAACGATATTTAAACTGGAGTAATTCAGTAGATTTAGGCACACAGATATTACATTTTAAAACTAATACTCTCATTCTGGATGGTATGATAGTTTCTAAAATCAACTAATCGATTTCATTTCGTTATGAAATTTTAAAACTAGATTATCATAAAACTCACTGAATATTATGCAAACAAATAAAATTATTTAACACAATTAAAATTGTAATGTTTCGTTTGTTTGCTTGCTTTATTATCTATTTCACTCTACTCTCATTCAGCTGATTTTTTCTGTCCTACAAACATATGACTCGTTTGTTTTGCAAATCTATATTTCGCATTATATTATTCGTGGTTAGGGTTGATTGCTTTTGTCGACATAGTTGTCAAAACTGTAAAATTTATTATTCAAACCTATATGATACTACTTTAATGATAACAAAAACCACAATAAATCATGTAATCCAGTGTGTCATTGTCACTAAAATTTATATGATCGTTTGTTGTTCAAAATAATGTATGCATATATACAAACATAAACAAGTTTATGTAGAATTTCTTTTCACATTTATTATTTATTCTCTAGTTACTCTGTACGCTCATCCGAAAGTATAAGTATATAGTTAAACTGAAAAATACAGAGAAACTATGTGCTTTAGCGTATTATGTTCCAAACAAAATTCCGTGTATTATTTTATAAATATACATTTGAGATATTCTACTGTAAGTTGCACATCCTACATTGAGGTACTTTCAGTCTTTGCATGAATACGTGAGTGGAGCACAAATTCTTGAGATACACAGTGTAGAAAACAGTGAGGTGTGAGGCAATCCAAATTATCATGAGGTTGTCTGAATTTAATTAGAATAATCATAACAGTAAACGTAACCTTGAAATTCATGAGTTAAATCAGGAATGATATAATTATCCTTCCATATCTATTGTGCATTCCAGCATACTCGTTATTATACATATGAGAGCAGATAAACGATAGCAAAAAATGCATATATTGGGCAAATAACTGACGTACTTAATGTGTAATTTGATGAAAACAAAAGGGCATGAATTTGCTCATCTTTGAAAGATGTATCATTTAGATTCCTTATGATAAGATGGATGTGAAGTTGTCAAACAATGAATTACATCAGTAATTTATATACACGGTGTTTATTATACATGAGTCATTTAAGCAGTATGTAGCTCCAACAAGATTTGTTCATTACATTTGGATAGGATAGGTTATGAGTTGGGATTTATTTCATTTTATGATGAGTATTCTACAATTGCTATACAAATAGTTGTTGCCTTAGTTATTGATTATTATTTTTTTTATTATTTAGTGCTAATTAAGTATCTTGATTGCTCATTTATTTTCTACTCAACTCGTTTGATTAACATGAATACCCTGAACAATTTAATGGTTAAACTTTGCTAAGAGGTTATGTCCTTACTTATCTTCGATATTGGAATAAAATAAACTTTGAATATATTCCTACGACTAGTCAATTTAGAGTTGATTACTGGAAAGTGAGAGTCAGAAATATGCTAGTTCAATATGAAAAAAAACCTACATATTTAATCAATAGAAAGAATAATATGGGGTTAACTTTAGAAATATGCAAAAATTAATTATAAATAAGCTATATGTTTACTGAATATTTACTATCAACTGATTCAGTTTACAGTCAGCACACTAATAATTTCAATAACATAAACTGTTTACTGTGACAAACAATATATAATAGTTTGGGATTATTTTAGTTCATATCTATGAGTGGAGCGTTATCAGCTTTTGTTCACATTTAATTTAGTTATTCCTGATGTTTTTTTTTTATTAAGTTCCAGACTAGAACTCTAAGTATCTGATATCATAACTGCATTAAACTGAGTATCTAATAAAAAAGATAAGCTTGCTTGTAAAATTTACCTTGTCATAGAATCTTATTTCTTCTATTTGAATAGTAGCATAAGATTATTAGTTTTCTCTTAGCATGAAGTAACAATTCATCTTAACGCCAATCAATTGGCAAAACACTGATAGCTCAATAAAACAACTTTTAGAGATGAAAAATCCTAAAAAAATACTACAGGATAAGTTCCACATAATACATCTCAATCGATCCCATACAGATTCATCAAACTATAAAACTTACAGCTATAAAAACGTTATATATGAGAAAGTTGTTTAACGCAACCATAGGTATTTTTTGATAGAACAGTGAGATGTAATTCATCTGAAAAATGTGACGAATTCGCGGTATACATTTCAAACAGTCTGGTCAAACAATACTGGTCAAGGCATTTTATACGAAATTAATGGAAGGTCAATTAAATGAAAGTTCAAATAAACATAAGGTGATATTTGTAAATAAAGGAGAGAGAAAATCAACGTAATACAGAAAGAATAAGAAAGGTCAGGAACTTATCACACTTCCTTAGGTCATAAAATGGCTTGAAGATTACCAGGGTAAATTCAAGGTTATAAAAAATTGTTTCCGTACACATAAGGGGGGGCGGGTTAATTTACGATTAGCCGAGTCTTCCATAAACCTCAGGGTTCGTCCTTGAATGTTTCCATACAATGTTTGCAAAACTGTCTTGATGTCAATTATGTGTTCTGCAATCGATGAACATGGTTTACTTCTTCCCACATTTATCGGGTCATCCGATATGAAAATAGAAATCAACTATCAACTGATATTTTTATTTTTTTTTCAAGGATTGAGTTTACTACAATACAAACAAACTTGAATAAACATACGTAGTGAGATTAGATCATTTAGTTCGATTAAATAATTAAGTTAGTTAACTTACAATAATCTATTTATTGACTTATCATTTTTTTCGGTGAATAAAATTTAAAATTAATTATTGTAGCTTGCATCAGTATTAGTTTTACACTTCATTTAATTGTGTCATTCCATTAACCTTTATAAATTACTAACATTTAAACACAGAGCTAATTTATTATTTGCAAAAAATGTCACTGATCAAAGTGTCAAAAGGAAATTTAAAAAAAGTGTCGATTATTAATTATGCAAATTTTTCAGCGACTCGATTGAAAAAACTTCGACGACTTTAATTTTGTGCATGTTAAACAAATAGAAATTTTTATCTACTGAAATACTTAACAAAAAACACAATCATATCAAGCAGTAATGACCTTTTGTTTTAATTTCCATGCGTATATATATATTCACCATGAATTTTAAATAAAATTAAGATGGACAAGAAAATGTCTATTTTTTTTGTTTGATAATCAATCAACCTTATAAGATTTTTATTTTGTTCATTAGGAGAACAAATAAATAAATAAATAATTTTCTCTTTGAATCAAAAATAATTTCAGTCAAATAATTTAATTAGCTATGTATAATTGAATTAGTTATTTTTTTTTCCTCTGAAAGTTCATTAAAATTGTTTTGTGATTTTTAATTTGCTGATCATATGAAAATTCAGTTGTTTTTTTTTTCTTTTGGTAGAGAATATTTTAAAGTTGAAATGAAAATTTTACACAATTTGAATTTATCTTTGACTTTTTTATGCATTACAAACTTGTAATTGACAAATCAATTGTTATACATATATATTGCAGAAAATATTGACATCTACTTTTCAATAATATTAGATAGGGGTAATTTTAGATTTTGGTTACATTACAAAGACAAAATTCAACTTAACTAACTTTTTACACATTTGAAATTATCAATCAATCATTGTTAGATCACCATTACAAACCTGGAAGCACTGGACGGCCGTTTAGTTCTCGGTATGGGACTCATCAGCAGCGCGAATCCACGACTCCTGCATCTCGCAGGATTCGAACCCGGAACCTTTGGTACTGTGCGCAAACACCTAACCATCTGAGCACTGGGCCGGCATCCAACTAACTTTGTTTTATTTTGAATCAACATAGCACAAACCAATATATAAAGTTTACTTTCTGTGTAAAAGACATCGTTACATTTTCACAGACATTTGCTTATTTCCTAATGTTTTATCAAAAAATTTCTCAGAGCCACTTTTATGTACGAAACTCAGTATAGACGAAATGACCGGATTTATAAAAAAAATGTCAATACTTTAAACTGTTTCAGATTATTTTAGCTCTTTCAATTCACATGAACTACTAGCCAAGCCTATACATGTGTATAGGCTGAAAGATATGGCTTCATATAACCATCAACAACTTGTAGAATCAAAGAGAACAATTCACAGCACATTTTAAATGAATTCAACTTCGGCACTGATAAAACCACTACACTCATTCAGAAAATTTAGTCTCCCTTACCAACATACATCACTTGAAGTAAGAGCCGGATTTCCGCTAGTCAATCAAAGTACGATTTCAATACACAATAATACATTCAGGTTTGTTGTGTGAGAAAAAAAGTGTTCAATAAAGATAGAAGTTAGTCTTAGGTCACCAGTATCCGATCATAGGTGTTTTCGAAGCCTTGAATGAGTATTTTGTGATCATTGAGTGAATAATAATGATTTTTGGGATTAGATTTCTAGGTAAAAAAAAAGCAAATTAGTAGGCGAATTAGAAAGTCTGTATCGATTACTGTAATTAATATTATATTACGTATTCTCAACAAACGCCTACCTAGAGGGTTGTTATAATGCGTGGGATTAGGCTGAAAGACATCTGGAGACACTCAAATCAAAACTTAGCATCGGTACATGAAGTCAATGATATTTGAACTGAGCCATTTGAGTACGTGCAGCTTGTGGTTGTAGATTTTAGATTTTGATGCATTCCTTCTATAGCTTTCTTTAGATATTACATCTCCAAGCTTCGTACATATTTCTGATTCTCAGTACATCCAATCTTATTTACCGCTTTGGATACTTTTTCTACCGCTAATGCCCTGAGATTTACCTTACATCCAAGAGATCAGAAAAAGCGTAAAGATAATATCCATATATTTTAATGATATAAAAAAGTCACAGAATCTTATTTTAATTTTCAATAAGTTAGATATATCCAATATCACATCTATGAAACCTTATTTATTTAAATGTATCTTAATGCGAACGAAATAGAGACTTAATGTTCTAAATCTTAGTGTTGGTTTTAATATTTATGTGGTGATTTTTTGAAAATACCATTACTTGAAAATTACTAGTTACTCAAACTTATTTTTCTATTGTATTAGTCATTTCCACATTTTTGTTATATGTAATACATTTCAGAATAACGGTTCATCTGCTATAACCAATAATTCGATGTTATCTGTTATTACTGATAATAATCTTTATTAATTTTTGTCAGTTTTATTTACTTTTATCAAAATTGATCGTCGACAAAATGATACTTTATTTATGCTCACTAATAGATGCACCAGCTAATGTTACAATTTCGGTAGAAACTGGTAGTATCGATGATGATCATAATAGTGGACGTCGAGAAAAAGTGGCCTATGCTCGTGCCGGTGAGACGAAAACATTTATTTGTAAAACTGCTCCATATTACGGACAAGCAACTATTAAATGGTTGTTCCAGTCAGCTGGCGCCAGTATAACAACACCTCCCAAACAATTGGTTGATAAAGCAGTCACCTTCAAAACACCTGATGGAGAGAGTTTTTATCAAGAGTCACGGATTCAGTTTACTGTCCGGCCAGAAGATGATAAAAGTTATATAGATTGTCTTGTTTGGAGTGTTGGAGATGCACGCGTTGATTCAAGAGTGCGTTTAGATATTATTTGTAAGTTTATAAATATTCACCATTATGAATTGACTTACTAGTTCTTTTGTTTTCCATTACCAGAGAGCAGCGTGACAAACATACATATCTAAATGCTTGTATTGTTGTTCATTTTGAAACGTTGACCGCCTTACGTAACACTTTGAAGACCGAGGATTTGAAAAGAAATAAGCTAACTTTAGAGATGTCTACTATTATTCGCAAGATTCAAATACTACTAATATAAAATACGTTTATCAGGTAGTCAGTGAATAATTTATCTTGTAAGATAATAAAACCTCTCATTCTAGGACAACATTTATAAACGGACAGTACTGTTTTTAGTTAGATTTTCACCATGTTCTTTTCTAATACACAATGATATGTATATGCATTTATAAATATTAAACTAATCAAAGTTGTTCATCTCTCAGTAATCCTGACAAACTGGATCGCCTCATTAAACACAATGAATAAAATAGGTATCAGCGTGCGTTTTTTACTAATTAGGTTTATCATTACCTCATGAACCGCATTGAAAAGCTAAAAAAATTTTATATCTGCATATAGATATTACTGTATATTCAATTCTGTTTAGCATCTAAATAAAAATAATGTTGATATCATTATTATTGTTATTATCAAAACTGTATTCGAACCAATTCATCTTAATCAAACTTTTTATGTGGACTGTAAGTGCGTATATGAATTATAAATGACATTGAATTAGATGACAAGACTGTCTGAATTTTGATACTCATCAATTATACCTAACAGTATATCGATACAGTAGATTGGAAATTTATTTTCCTTCTCGAATTTTGTTCTATAAATAATCATTTTTACGAAAAATGTTCAATCTACTCAGTTTTGAACAGTTTAAAATTGACCGAATCAATTATAATGTAACTGAATATTATTTTAAACATTACTAATAATCAAATTCTGAAGCATGTGATACTTCAGTTCAGTTCAGAAAAGAGTGATCATAACAGGCAAATAAAATGAAATACAAAGCAATGAGATTGTTCTTTCAGGTTACATTTTAGTGTGATACTAAAGTTAACAACTTCTATAATGACAAATGAGTGGGACTAATGTTAGCAACTGTCAAAAAAGCGGCCAATAACTGTTGAATAATTTGTTGTATATTAAACAATGATTATATTTCTGGTTAAATATTTAGTTTAGTTTAAATAATGAGTATGCTTGAGGATAGAAGCTAACCATGATATAAAATGTGAGTGATATTGAATCGATACCAACTAAGTTACGTAACTTCAAAGGTGTGATTAAAATTGTAGCCAGAATATTTTTGTAGTGATCAATAAGAAATCCTTTAGAAATATGCTACTGAATTTTTATCAAGACTAGACATGACAAAAATGTTATAAAATGCACACTTGAAATAGAATTCCAGTGTGATAGTATGACATTAAACTGAAACAAAGCTGAAGAAACGCATGTTCAATTAAGTAGAATACATATTTACATCCTACCATTATTCGCGCTGATATGCTGAAAAAGATAGGAACCGTAGTTGTGTAACTTGATTGATTCGTTATTTTAATAAAATTCACTAATCTCCGCAACCCCGTTCTGATAAGTGATGTTCAGAAGAACAATCAAAGCTCTTCAACCGAAAAATTCTGTTCAGAGAATGAAATTCCACCATAATCATCCCTCTGAGAGACAAATTTTTCCCTTTATCTGATAAATGATGGGTTAGTAACGAAAGCATAACTAAAATTTTAAATTAAAGTTAAAAACAAACAATACAATAAATTACATCAATGCAAAGAAAAACAGGAACTCGAACAATTATTCATTGAAAGGTGCAGTTATTAGGAAGGTTGATAAACCAGGCTATAGAAAGTCGAAAATTCTGAGTTAAGACGAAATTTAACTGATATTTATCAGAAATAAATTCAACTTCACATTTGGGAATTTAACTAGCCATTACTTAAGTAAAGTCTTAAAATCATTGATGTAGTTTTAACTGCAATCAAAAAAAAATATGACGATATTGTTAGGAAACAGGTTTATACTTACTTCTGGAGTACAAGTCATGTGATTGTTAAACAAAATTAAACGCCACTGGTTGTTTTTACTTCAGTATTCTTTGAATAAGCATTTTTGAATGCAATATCCATTATTTACAGATCCCCCGGATCCACCTAAAATTACCGGTTATAAGAGTGGCCAACCAGTGAACATGGCTCATCTTTTGGAATTATCATGTACTACCACAGGTGGTAATCCATTGCCTGAACTTCAGTGGTATAAAGGTGAGTGAAATATACTAAACGATTTATTGTAACTATTATCCATTTCATATCCATTTCATTAAACACTCAATTAATATTCTCGATATTAGTATTTATATGAGTACTTTGTCTCCCAACATATCCTAGTATTTCTCAGTATATTTGAAGGTAATATTTTTTTCTAGTCCTGATTTGATGTTAAGATACATTTCAGCAGTAAAATAATTATTTCTAGTTAAGTAAATTTTATAGATAAAGATTTCCAAATCAAAAGCAACTAGTATACAGGTCACTTGGCGACAGAATTCATAAGACATTCTGTTGTACGTTTTAATCAAATGGCAATATAGTTCCATATGTTTGCTAAATAATCCATCGTTGCATCACATCGAACGTACAAATTTTTTTCTTTGTCATTTTTATTTTGTTTAACTTTTACAACCTATCTAACTACTACGCATCAATTTATTCGTTCATTTTCGTCAACAACAACGGAACTCCACCATAATCATCCATCTCAATGAAGCACCTGACCAGATGCTTAATAATGAAAGTGGTATTATTTGGTTTTCTTCGAGTTCTTTGATTTAGATGTTATAATTGTATAGCTTCTATTAATATTCTGGACGAGGTTATCAAACTTATATTCCATGTGATCAAGTAAAATAAATCTGATGTTTAGAATTTTATGAAATGACATTCATTCCACGAGATGCATTCAACTGTTTATCAAACCTATCGATGAGTTATTAGATGTAAATATAGCTTCATTATGTTGATTGAAATAAAGAAACTGACTTCAAATCTAAATAGTTTTCAAATAGTTTTTCCTCATGAAGATCTTGATATTGAATAGTATGTTACCTTTCAATACAGTCTAAACTTATTACGTGTATTATGCATTTTTCATCAGGTTTTAAATTTTCCATAAAAGTAACCAGATGCTATAAGCATTCATTTAATAGCTACAGTACAAGGCTTAAAAAATTCTAACGACATGCTGATGGACTACATATACTACTAAATAAATTTATATCGATGTTAAAATAAAATTTCCTCACTCAGTATTTGAATTCTAATTAGTAATCTACTGCAATATGTCTTTTACTAATGAGTAAAAAGTAGTTTGGTTTTCTGACGATTAGTGTTTGCATTTCTCGTCTAATCTTTTTTCTCATGTAAATATACTTTACAAATTGCACGCCCTCCACTTATTTACTACAACCGTCAGAAAATGAGATGTAAGTTCATCACTAGAAAATAATGACCTTAGTCTGAATTAAATCGATTGAAAAACCCTTTGAACGGACGAAGAGTGGGTTGATAATTATTTATCATGCATTTATATATATATATATATATATATATATATATATATATATATATATATATATATATATATATATATATATATATATATATATAAGTGAGATACAGGACGAATGTATGCATTGTATACTTTCATAATACAGATAAAAAGCCGATCACAAACAATGTCGAACCAATAGTTGTTGGAAAACAAACCACTGCAAAACTAAAGATTGCACCACAAAAAGAAGATAACGGTGCTCAATACCAGTAAGTTGTTTGTTACATGCACTTTTTCATTTAAATTTTCGGCAAAAATTTATTTAATTTTGAATATGTTTTAATTATTGATATAAATAATTCACTGTGTTCTTGTAAGTATAAAACATCTTATGTTCGCATTGAAAATAATTTGACAAATATTATCAAATTTTATAAACTGGATATTTTTATGTTTGTAACAATGAGAAACTTTTTACAGCTAATATGTTTTATACTTTACTGATAAAATTTCTTGGAAAATATTGTTTTCTCTGAATTCGTCACACACTTGTAATGGTTATACTATTTCGCACTATTGGTGTTTACTCTCCTTAGTGAACTTCTAGATATCGACAATTACAAACCTGACCATAAAATATCATGATTCTCATTCGTTTTGCAGACTTTAGTTTTAATTTTTGTGTAAAAATGTGTAATTGTGAATTCATTTTCATCATTGAAACTAATCATGAGTAACAATTAAAATTAGTAATTATATCATCATAGTGTTGTTGGTACATTGAAACATCGAAGCTTGTTTTTAACTACAAATCTACTCAACATTTACAAAGGACACATTTCAGCACTAAATAAAAAGCATTTCATGATGTAGTGTATATTGTTCAATACACTGAAATAAAATCAAAATATCAGTATACACAATTCACTATTGCATTTCTTTACACTACTTACATTCCGACAACGCGCCTTATTCATTTTTGATTTTAATTTTTAATTTTTTGTTCAAAACCAATTGTTGTCTGGCAAACACATTCATTATTCATTGTGTAAACTTACAATACTATTATTTAGCCTGATTTCATTACCACGTCGCAGTTGTGTATATGTAATAAAAAAAAATCTGCTTTTTTTTTAACAGTTACTTCTAGTTCTTAGCTATTTTCGCTTTGATTATGATTATTTTTATGTTGTTTTTGCTTTGGTGATTTCCGTTCTCTTTTCAGTTAGTTTCTTTACATTATACTGTTATATAATAAACGACATAGCAACTGAAGCCGGTACATGATTCTGTTAAATCTTTTATTACGTCTATTTATTTATCGGTTTGTTTTTTTACTTTTGATTTTATTCAACAATGAGACTACTAGGATGCTTTACAATTATAAAAAAAAAACTTGCAAAAACTAAAATGCCAATCCCATTTTATGTACTGTTGTTTTTGTCACGATTGTTTTCAATAGGGGGAATGTTTTTCTCTTGATTTATAAGTACTTCTGTGTTATGCTCATAATTAAGCGTACTGCATTTTCTTTTGCTAACGTAATTTTTTACACTAAGAAATAAGTTTCAATGTGAGTAATAAAACATAATTATTGCTATTCAAGTTTTTATAGTAAATAAGATTGACAAATCAATAAACCAGTGGAGAAATACATCGTTTGCTTGTATTCTATAAAATGTACATACAGATATATTGAATTAGATTATGCCTGAAATTAACTGTTTCAAAGAATTTTACTTTAATTTCTTAAACAAATAGATAGGCAGATAGTGAGTGAGATCATTAAATAAACCCTTCATATGAAAGTGTTTTTAGTTACTTCGTGTATTATGTAGACTTATTAATCTGCTATACGAAGCAGCTAATAATAGACACCATAGTATACATTTATTTCCGTTCAATGCTGTTGTTAGATATAGTCTGTATCAATATAGCCTGTGACACAAATAAAGGACTTACAGTTTGTACTCATTATTATCTATTAACAACTTTTATGGGTAAATTAAAATTAGCGTAAAACGGTTGATTTTATCAGTGAAATTATACTATTTTTTGATTTAAAATTGCTGCTAAGATTTATCTGTTAATGTTGGGCTATTGACATCGATATGCTCAAGATAAAATATTCAAATTTCATTTAAAGCGGAACAAAAAGCAGGTGTACAATATTTTTATAGAAAATTTAAATGATTTAACACATAAGACAGTTAAATCTATTTGTCAGTACTATTACACACTAACTATTGAGCATATTGTGAAAAATACCATATTCTAGTTTATTAATAAACTAAAATTTTGCTCATGTTGATACATTTTGGACGAGAATGAAACAAGTTTCTTGCATCAGGAAAAAAATAAAATGATCATTAATAACATATGAGTTTGCTGGAACATCCTTTTCTGATATCTCTCAAAAATTGACCGAAAATGTAATTCATTAAGGTTACTGTCATCAGGCAATGTATGAGTAATCATAATACATAACAAAAAATAAAGATAAATATGAGTCGTTCAATTGATTGTCAATTTTAAAATTATACTGTATATTCATATACAGTAATTTCTAGGATGCTCAAGTATGAAAATTATTTGCTCTATATTCTACTGTGTACTATACAAATTGTGTTCACGCCTACACACACAAACATGAAATATTTCATACTATATATTTTTGTGTAATTTCTATATACTTAAATACAGTTGTTCAGCTCGTAACACAGCAACAAATAATGAATGGATCGATAGTGAGGCGTTAATTTTAAATGTTTTATTTCCACCACAACGAGTGAGTCTTAATTTCGGCGGTAAATCAGTAGTTCAAAGTGGTGAACAACTTGTTATCAATTGTCAGGCTGATAGTTCAAATCCAGTTGCTGTTATCACATGGCGTCATTATCAATGTGGACCAGCGCATGCATTTTATCGACGTCAACTGTTACAGCAACAACAAAAGTTACCAAAAGCTAGTAGTAATACAAATGAAGGTGAAAAGTGTAAATTATTGGAATTAAAAGGTAAGATTAATTACAGTCACTGACTGTGATGTCAATTATGATTTCTTTGGAGGTTGTTATTTTTTAGGTTTTGAATGACTCACATAAATAGTGACAATGAAAATATCAATTATGCGACCCTTATCATTATTAATGCTACAAGACACCAGCAATTCAATTCAGTATAATAGCAAGAAAACAGAAGATGTGTCATCTAGAAGATAACTTTATCACTTTCTAAAAAGAGTAAACTCTATCACAGTAACAGATGACAGATTTCCAATTTGTTCAATTCATAAAAGACCTCAAAAATCACTTTTTTAAGTGATTAAGTTCAACTCAGATAATACTATCTAATTCACTTCCATGTCTTATTCTGTCCATCTTCATATAATAATTGTGTTCGCAACTGTAGGACCTGATATTGTAGTTCACAGAACAATTATTCGTCTCAAAACTATTTATTTTTGAATACTCTGTTGGAACTTTCAAACTGTATTCTACTTATTTGATTTTTAGATGATTATGAAAATCATCACAACAATGATAAGACCATTATGATCATCACGAGTAACTTGCATTTTGCCTCATAATATATTTTTGATGTCACAAATCAATAACTGAGATCATAAAACAAAAAGTAGAAAATATAGGCTTCTACTACCGATTCTTGCGAAGATTCATGTTCCTCGTTAAACAAATATAATTAACTTAAAATCTATACATTTATCGATGTTAAGAAATATAATTTGATTGGTAATTGTCTGTTCTGGTTTACCAGGAACTCGTTTTAAATGAATTTCCAGCTGTTATTTCTTTTTAGTTGGTTTACTGTAACGAAGTTGAGCATAGCTCATCTCAATAATAAACTGCGCATCAGTAAGCAAGATGAAATATAAATGCAAAACTCTTCTCTTTTTAGACACTAACTAACCGCTTATATTGTCTAATCCGCAGTTTGTTAATGGGATATGATTTTCAGGATGTTATATCTGATAGACGTCACATGACCATTGATTTTCTTGTAGATATTTTAAATATTATGTACTGTTGAAAATATAAAGTGAAATAAATAGGAAGTGTGATTTAGTCTTTCTACTTCCCAGATTACAAATTTCAAATCATTACCCCTTTTGAACTAGGTTCCGATGAAACACCTATTCCTGGAGCATCTGGTGGTTTATTAGCCAGAAGTCATTTGTGGTTACGTCCAACTTGGCGATATCACATGGACTTTATTGAATGTCAAGCAGAGAATCCAGTCTACGGTCCACCTATATGGCATGATCGACTTCAGTTAAATGTTACATTTGCACCACAGTTTTATGGTCTTCAAACTGGTGATCAACGAGTAATACGAGAAGGTAAATGATAAATTTATGAGAGAAAATTTTTATTCAAATGTTTAATTTTTGTTTGATTTAATTATATAACAGCTTATTTCAACTACTAGTTTTGATCACAAAGTTTACACCTTAACATCTTATTTACTTTTATTTTGATGGTATAAGTGAGGTTTTTATTTTTTATCAAAGCATTTTAATATTTTTCCAGAAATGTAGTGAATTCGCTATTTAACTCCTCTAAATTTATCTTGTTTTAAAAAGGGAATACTAAATCACAGACTGAGTCATAACAAAGCTATATTATTGCAGCTTACTTACTGGGTGATATCAATTATTTTTTTGTTAGCATTTCAAGACAACTTTAATAGTCTTATTTCTATTTCTCATCGTAATAGTTGCTTTCAAAAGCAAACAGCATATAAGCTAACAAATCTGTTTCAAGATACAAAGTTTGTGAATATATTTGTTGGTAAAATACACAACTCATACTAAACTAATAACAATTATGTGTTTACAATTGATTAACCAAGAGAGGAAATTGATACACATTTCTTAATTAAGCGATTCCATCCGTGCCACGAGTGAAACAAATTTCACTAATGACTACGAATGACTATAGTCAGAAAGGTGGATAACTGAACTTCAATTCAGTCTAAGTGTTTGAGGTTTCTGAGGTCAACCACTGGAAGATAGATTAAACGCACTGCTTGAATTACAGTACTGTGATCAAATAAATATTCAATAATTCTCGATTTCCAATAGTTGTCTAACTAAAGTCAGTGAGTGTTCAGAACTATTCGAATGAAATTTTAGCGTAAAAATATAAGAGGGTTGGTCATATAGATAACTAAAGAATTTCACTCCGATTATGTTAAAATAATTACAGGCTGAATCATCAGTTACTTTAAAAGGTCTTATAAGAAAAGGTTAGAAAGATATGCTATAATTTATTCTGTTAGCTAAATTGTTTGAATCAAATCTGAAACTAAACACTGGTTATACCTTGTTTATAACAATGGTAGTGGTAACAATAACTTAAGAAAATCCAATGGAGAATTCACCATAGTGGGGAGGGAAGGTCAAAGAACCATTATTTTAAGTATTTTAGAGGAATTTCTAGACAGCCATCGTCACTTGATGATAATGTATGAATAATTGACAGTTTAAACAGATCTTGTGATTGAAAGATGGCTGCATGACAAAGAAACCTATATGATTCTGTTTTATCACTTAAAATGGCTCAACAAAACAGTGACTTATGCCGATTTCCATGCAGCGATCGTTATATGAATACATTTATATGTAAGTTCGAGTAGACTTGTAAACCAGTCTTAAAACTGTACCGTTTTCAGTAGGTAGTAATAAGATAAATTGACAAAATATCGAAACATTGTTCTACACTTTCAAATGAAGGAATATTGAAATGCTGTACTATTATAATATGAAGGGTTTGTGTACACTCTGAAATCTCACAGTTTATGTCATCAGAAGAGTTTAGTTAAACAACCAGTGAAAATCAGCGCGGCTGTGTCATTCGGGTATGTGGCTCCCCAGTGCATACCCACGACTCCACAAAGATTTGAACCCTAAACCTTCAGTTCTCTCTATTAGTGCTTATTCTATTGATCGCTAGACTGATATTCAAAAGATTATATGTTTAACCTTATTCTATTCGTGATATACTCAGCTATCTTTGAGGTGAATTCAAAAACAAGTTTTCTAAATATATTTATATTACCTTTATTTGAACATATTCTAAACATGAATTTACTTTGAATTTTGTTACTTCATAAATTCCTAAAATAATGAATTATAAGATAAGTAATACATGTTATTAATGATACATATATATTCATTTATGACTACAGTAAATATCTGATTTCTAAAAGTATATACAACTCTGTGTTTACATTGAGATATTATTATTGTCAAGCTATTCAGACCAATTAAATTTACTTACAAGAAAGCCATTCGTGTTGACATTTTTTAAGCTGCATAATTAAATAATCAGATCGAAAAATTTTGTTCAATATTCAAAAAGACTCAAATTTTACACATATCAACCTGAAAAGCATTTCAAATTACGGAACATTCATAACAACATCATTGAGAACAGTTAATAACTTTCAAAATTTTTAAACGATAAAACGTTTGTGAAAGTTTGTAACAATGTTCATTTTTGTACGATTGACTCAAACTCAAAGCTCAGTTATAAGCCTCTACACAACTTCAATGAACATTTCTATCGATCGCTTACATCAAATTATTATTTACAAAATACTGAATAAATAGTTTGTGAGCCTTAGTAAGATTTTTCATAAATCAATTCATAATCTATTGAAGGAAATTTCAATCGTTGTTTTTTTAAAATACGTAGTGCTGCTTCTATATTTCCTACTTCTGACCTTCAGTTAATGCATTCAAGTTGATTTATTTGTAGCTTTCTCCAAAGCGTACTTTATTTGTATAGCAATTTTAAGTGAATGAATCCAATTTAGTTAGGAATTTACAAAAGACATTAGTCATATTATAGATGTTGTGCATATATATTGTCAGCGACGCAACATGAAATATTTATCTCACACAGAAAAAATTTTTTTAAAAATAAACTTAATTGGAAATTTATTTCTTTTTTTTTTAAAAAAAACACAACAAAAATTTGGTTTTTAAAATTCTCCTGAATTTGTTTAAATGACTGTGACACAGAGGCCAGAGTCACATTTCAACTGGAGAAGTGCACATTCTTTTATTCGCAAAATTCAGTGGTACATAATTAATTATTACTTTCAACTAAATTCGAATTAACTAAATGCGTAAACATTTTCTTTGTAGTATTTATTACCAGTGTTATACAAATAAAGTAGTAAAGGTTAAAACACTTTGATTTGTTTCGGTTTACAAATTGTTGCGACGCCAATGGTGAAGTCATAAAATATTCATATATATAAAAAGACGTCGATTCAAACTGGTTGTAGAAAATGCTACTATACTTTGGCAATTATTTGCTTTAATTTTAAATACCGCATTAGCATTCTCACGCACGTGCCTGTGGAGTTCCTCAGTATTCTGAAATTATTACTTGTTCAAGTAAACGTCAGTTAAATCCCCTAAGCTTTTTTACTCTGTCTGTGTTTCACTCTCTCTCTAGTAATCAACCACCCTTGACATTTAGCATGAGTGTTAAATTTGAGCGAATAGTATTCCTATGACACATATATTTGACATGAGTAAGAAAATATTTCCTTTTATTCAAATACTCCATATGTACCGATAATTTTTAACTATAGAATTTAACAACAATTATATGGTCTTGATTAAATTACTATTCTGGTAGTAGAACCTAATACATATGAAGATCAATCGAATGGGCTGCTTTCGTCAACTACAGGAATTGACGGATCCTCTCACAGTTAAGAAACCTGATAGGTTTCTAGTACATAGCGAATCTCAGCAACCCATTTTGTGAAGGGCTTTGTAGACAAACAAGAATATAATAATTTCGTATCTAGAATATCGGAACTATATTCACCCATATCATCGCTTTCCAAAACGTTCCACACTAAATTACATCAATGAAGTAAAGTCACGATACCCATGAAATATGTCTTCAATCAATTTAATATCTGTTTATTCACATGTCAATTACCAGGATGAATCATTTGATCGTATATACTAATTGCATAACAATACAGATTTTAGAAAACACCAGTTTTAATTAAAGTTATTACTTAAGAAAGAGATGAGGAAAAAATTACAGAGACGTGGAAGTTTGGATTGCAAATCTGTTAATCATTATCTAGCGACTGGTATGAAAATTGTAGGGATAACTCTGATGATTCATTAGTCTGTCATTGATGAGATGCTACGTAGAACGTATATATAAATTCCAGAGTCTTTATCACTGAATAGTTTTAGTTAGCCAACCACTAAGAATTAGGAAGCTTTAGATAGCTTTTTCATCTCATTATGATACTCATCAGTTGTGCAAAACGCACAATCACATCTAGGATCAAACAAAGTTCGTTCACCTCTTGTAGCAAACCCTTAACCTAGATTTTATGGCGTTGGTATCCAACGACCTAAATGTTAAATTTCAATCAATTTTTGATCTATTTATGATGAAAAGCATGAAATTTCGGGTCTCCCTATTAAACCATGGTGCGGAGCTGGTTGAAAAGAATTGTTACCATTATTATCCTATTATATTTGTAAGTAACATTCATACAGCTTACTTTAAACTATTGAAGTTTTTTAATGAATAAAGTACTTAGTGGTCGTTGTATCACTATAGTTACTCCAAACATTTATTCCATAGACAGACTATGAGAGTTTTGATGTGTTTATGTTCATCTAGATAGATAAAATTGTTAACCACATAACAATGTATTGACCAACCTATTAATATCTAACACTTAGACTACGAATAATTTCTATGTTCACACAAGTAAGCGACCGTTCATTGTTAACACAATATATAAAAAATACCAACATAATAAGTTCTAATTTATTGATTTTGGCTTATTGAAATTGAAATTGTCCTTAAAAGAAAAGTGAGCATACAAACATGAACGATTTTTTTTCTCAATTTTTACTCAGTCAATTAAGAAAATGAAATTTTCTTCTCCATTGTATTGTTATTTTTTTTAAATTTTAAATAAAAGTAAACAAATATTTTCCACAGCTTAAATAAGGTAGAAAAATCATTTTTAATGTAACTATAACTATTAATCACTTTTTTCCTTTTCTTTTTCACTCACAACACACTGACCTTCATAATAATGATAATAATATAAATTGCCTTTTTGTGAACTTCATTTAGTATTTCTAATAAATATCACATGTAAATAGAAAGATACTTCTTTAAATATATTTATAAAGTAATAATTTCACCCAGATATGGATTAGGTGTGATAAAATAATCTATTTCAGAATGAAAATTTCTGACACCCTATTGAATTCATTTTAACTTTTAATAGATTAGTTCACTTTTTGATTATAAATCAGCATAAACGAGTTTTGATAAACTAGTTGAAAGAAATTTGCTACCTTGACTCTGTACTTGTTACGTTTCACTCGTAACGACTGTTTTTAGCATTCAAAAAAGAAAGCAGTACTTAGTGAGAACTTCAAAAAATCCATTCCCTGAAATACAATAGATGGATAAGTCGTTTGTCATATGCGTAAGACATCATGAACTGTTTCAGATATAATAATTGTTTACCAAACGATGAGCATCACGTCAACAATCCGCTTAACTTTTGGGTGTAGTGTTTTTAAAGTACTTTTTTCTGCTGATTATAAACTTTGGGAAACTTATGAACCACTTATTGTTATCTTCTTATGATTCCGTTGTGAACACTTCTATCAGTGTTGTTTACTCTGATACTACCCTATAGAGCTGAGTGGTTTAGGGTAAATTGTTTAGTTTGGTATTGATTTTCACTACAGATTGTCATCAGCTAGAGAATTATAAAAACGCAGATTATACCAGATAGTTGTTGTTTATAGCCCCACATCAATGTTCAACTAGTCAAATTGCTTGATTGAAAAACGTATTTTATCTTTAAGTCTGTGTCTGTTGAAATAAGCTATCTTTAAAACACCGGATTTGGCACCCGATAGTTCATTTAGTCTATTCACAATACACTTTAACTACTATTCCTAGATATGTATCTTTATCTGTCTGACATAATGGAAAATGTGTGTGTTGTAACCTGTGATCTCAACATTTAAAATTTCTGTACATATATACAGTCAACATAGCTACACATTTCAATGATGGCATATTAATTGCTTATAAAGTTTTCCTATTTCAAATAAGTGAATAAAAAAAAACACTTATCTCACACCTCTAGAATATTTTGTTCTATTTTATGTCAAAAAATGAGCCTTTTTGTTTGTTTGTTTTATGTTTCAATGTTTAATCCTTTGTAAGCGATTATTGAATGAATCGTTCACTAATTTTATTACTTTAAAAATTAAAAATTTTTATTTGCAAAAGTTGACTGAATTCTAGAGTATGGATAACTGAATGCAAACTTGCTGTTCTATTTATAATTTACTTATTCAAAAGACTAAAATTGTCTGTTTCGATCACTAGTTATTGAATAATATTTTGTTAGGATGAAAGATCTATTCAATTCTTTTTGTTTTGTTTTTTTGATGAATATTTAGTATAATCCAGTCTGTAATCTAAACTAAATTTAGACTAAAAGGAAGTTTACAAAGCGACCGATAACCATAGACTTCTTATCTATAATAATCTAACAATAAATTGTAGAATTCATTTGTATTTATCATATTTAGAATTGAAAGCCATGACTTCAGCACATAATAAATCATTCATTCTATCACGTTGCATTGCTACCGCATATATATATATATGAACAAAATCACGTGACCAGAAGTAACTGAGTATATTTCCATTAATAGTTGTATGACATGAAAATGAGAATAACTAGAATAGGTTGCGTAAAATACAATAAAAATATTGACTTGAATCATTAGTTTATAAAACACTTGATTAATTATTAACTAATACGGAAATTTAATAGTATAATTAGTGTAAGTGTAACTAAATTTATAGACTGAAACATTATTCTAAAATATAACAAGACTGTATGTATATAATTCAACCAAATTTTTAATTAATACCAGATAATCAAGTAAATGAGAAAACAATGCAGTAACTTTGCAATGTATTTATTGATGATGACTTATGGTAAAGAAATTTGGGTGTAACGATTCGACTGGTGGAAAAAAATCCAGTTTATTTTGCTGAAAGCTGTATTTTAAGCTGAATGTAACATTTTTATTCACAATCAATGTTTAAATATTACGAATTATTTTACCGATGTGTTTACGATCATAGTATAAAGCTGGACATGGACATCCTATAGTCTGGTTTGTAAACAAGTAAAATTACAGGAAAGCATATTCACATGTATCAAGAGAATTATCTCCTAATGAATGATCGTAACAATTTGATAAATGTGACGTTTTTTTCCCTGACTTGCTTCAGCTTACTTCATATGTAATTGGATAAAATTACACAAAAGCTTCAACCTATTACTGTCAGTTACATTATTAGGTTGCCGTAAGATACAACACAGAAGGTGGGAAAATATGTATGCCTTCAAATTGAAGTACCATGGGAGTGGAAACATAAATTTTTAATTGGGAAAGACGATTAGTGGGTAATAACTACAAGTTAGTAGTACCAATGCATTTGTTATTTTCGATCGTAAGATGCAAACTAGTCCTAAATATAGAATTTCAGATAGCTCTTAGCGTTTCACTGCTCTTATCGAACTGTATACTTCCTGGAACTGTAAGTGATCAAAATCCTCACCCAATTAAATGTAATTTTGAGATTTAATAATGAACAGCCGTATAAATACCATATCTATTAACTTATCTATGATGTGAGAAAATCTGGATGGAATTATTCGGTCAGTTATTTTATTCACTTCATCCAATATGAATAAATTTGAAAAACATCAGTATGAGGTTTCCATATGGAACATAGTCTTGATGTCCTTAAATCTATTATTTCAGTACTAAATCGTATCAGAATTATAGCTACAGATCTAATAATTTTAGGGTGTACGTAGATAACTGATTTCATTGTTTTTCTTCAGTTGTCAGTAAGAGTAAAAACAGTGTATAACATTATCAATGATTTATGAATTATTCACTTTTCATACAACATTCAAGCTGACTGATGATTGTTATCAGATAACTCAAATTATTTAAACCATCTACTTGTGTAGGAACTAATTTACTAGCCAACATATTTCTCCGATCTTCAGTAGATATCTGGAACTAATACAGCATATTTTCCAAAGTAAATTTGCATAAATATCTGATATTTTCAAGATAACGGCTTCTTGAGCATTTTAATCTCAGTGAAATAACTCAGTACTGGATGATTTATGACAAAATATATTGCAGCTTATAAAATGTACGGCATCAACATTACAGGTGCTCAGAAAACTAAACAATGTGAATCATGAAGAGAGTATCTTACTAAATAAAATAATCTGATATTTTTAATCATAAGAATATTAAAAGTTCCATTTTTCTTAAAGTAAGCAATATTTAGAAAGCCTAATGATTAGTTTACATAATAATAATTCTGACTCTGTCTATGCTTTCGTAAATCGCATATTTATGTTAATATGATGATCTAAATATCCCGACTTTTGTTCAGTCAAATCCAGTAATTCATTTGAAAATTACTTTTCAGGTGAAACAACTAATTTGGACTTTGGATTATATGCAAACCCTCCAGTTACATCTGTTTCATGGTTTCGTGATGATCAATTACTTCCATTTGAACCAAAAGAAACTGATATATGGCAAGGTGTTTTTGCAGCTGGTTCCGTTGGAGAACTATTGTCATTACATAAAATTAATCGAGAAAATATGGGTAACTATACAGTGATAGTTTCCAATACACAGCATGAGTCACGAAGTACATTTTTTTTAAATGTTACATGTAAGTTTCACTTTAGAAAAAAGAACTTTTCCTGTTTTTATTAACAATCATATATATATATAAATTCATTTTGGTTTTTAACTAAAATTGAAGATTGAATACATTTATCTATCATCATTGCGAATCATTATCACTAGTGAGTAAATAACTGTTGAAAAATGTCTCTGTCAGTTTATTGGCTTGTAAAACTCACATAAATATGAAGTGTTAGCTTTTTGGTATGATGCCATCCTGCACAATGAATCACAAAATCTATCACTATGGAAATAACAGAATAAACAGCTGTTATTCAGCTAACCGCCCTATTACAATAGCCGAAGTTTTAGGAAAAATTGTTAATATTTACAAAGTAACCCATCCTTTGTACCATAATCAATGAACTGCACTCAAAATATGCTGCCCATTCAAGCTCTAGGAGTGGTGATTTTGCCCAAATATATATATATATATATATATATATATATATATATATATATATATATATATACTTCCAATTATAACTCCAAACTTTCAACTGTAAGCCAGTTTTCATAACTTGTTTAACTTGTCTTCATCTTCTGCTTATTTGCTGTGAAAATATGCGCTAAGAACGGTATCATAAAAAAATTCAGTAGAGTATCGAAATGTAATGACTTATTTGATTGTGTTTTCAAATATAAAGCCTTTACCTCCAATATCTTAACTGCACTACCTTACTTATTCAATCGTTATTGCTTAACAAGATATTCAGTTGGCTCTATAGTAATGTTTAGAGTTTAGATTATTCTCTCTCATTTCTTATCTTCATCATCATATCATATCTTACTTAATGTTGCTGACTTTTTCTAAACCCACATTCTTGTGTATCAGGTTATCGACTGGAGAGTTTTTATTTCTTAATTAGATTTTTAAGTGGGTAATTTATTTATCCAGTACTTCTACATAAAGTAAGCGATAAAAATGCCTAGAATTACAATGAAACTGTGATCAATCTGTCGACCCTAGAGAACTTAACACAAACAACTTATCTTGTTTGTATCGTGAAATTACCTAGTTGTTTGCTGTGTTACGTATAATGAATAAAATCGATATTCAAAGCAATGTTTAAGTATTTTTCTGTTAAAAAAGTATTAAGTTCTCCACATACGAATCGATTATTTTAAATTTACAGTTTAAAACTCTGATATCACTACAGCTAAATCCTACTTTGTAAATAAGTGTTTTTTTTTAATTTTCTTATTGTTTTATTTTAAAATTATTGAAACTAGATCCAGCAAGTATCGTTGGGAAACTTGAAGAGAACATTACACAGACAAATAAAGAGTACGCTGCTTTAGACTGTAAAGCCAACGCAAATCCAGCTATACCTGGTAAAATCTTCACATGGTATCGTTATTTTCCACCTAAAGGATGGACAGAAGAAGTAGATGAGGGTGCATTACAATTAAGTGAACCAATTTATTGTAATCAGGTAAATAAGCTTATGTATCGCACTTTTGTGCATATCATTCACTGATCAATAAACTCAGTAAATCAGCTAATCGGTATTTAAAATAAATGGCTTTCAAAGTCTCGATTGATCCAGATAGGTATAATGATGTCAAGTGTAATATTTTTTAATAATAACATAATACTGTGTTGATTATTCTGTACTTCAAATTAATTCAGCAATTCACTCATCAATGATATTCAACCAGATTTGTTACTGAATTCAACACACTGAATCTGTGGATCGATCAATTTTCATCATTTATCCCATGTGAAAGTAAAGTGTTGATTTATTGTGTCAAATACAGATATAGCATAAACATATCTGAAGTTTGTGCTGATGATGTTGTTCAGAAGAACAATGAAAGCTCCACAACCAAAACAACCAGCTCAGAGAACGAAACACCACCACAATACCAAGACCATATTGTTGATACTTTAAAATATTTCTACTTCGTAAAGATTCGTTAGTTTCAATAACTAATATTAAAATCTTCAAATAGTTTCAAACTCACTTCATTATTCAGTATATGTCAAGTATATGTTTCAATTATGAAAATAATTATGCTCAACTCATGACGAACTAATGAATAAGTCATACTTAACTGAACATCTTCCAGTTTTCATTCAAAACGTTACAACTTAAACACAGAAATTCAGCGTATACAATATTTGACTGGAGAGTTTACCAATACTCTATAAATAAAATAATTAAATTTCGCTTCAAAGAAAATATGATTAAATTTAATCACCAATATTGTTTTATTAAGATTGATCACAAATCTCTAATTCATCAAACTTAGTTTCTTTGTTATAACCTAAAATAGTCAAGATAAAGTAATCAGTTTGTTTATGAAACAATTTTCGAAGATTACATCATACACTGATCCTAACTACATAGCCACTCGAGATTAAAATTCATTAAACAGCTGTCTAGATCAAGGATAGAACTCCTCAGCAGTGTGCAACTGTGTGAGAAGCTATGATTAATAAATTTTAACCGTAACGGACGTGAGATAGCTACCTACTACATGCAATGGAAGATTGCAGTTTTAGTTAATTGAAATTAGAAATGTTCTCTAATAGATGGTGATTTAATGGTCTATAGGTTAGGAGCTAGGTAGGATACCAACTATCCTGCTCTTAACATTATTACGTGTGTACTACTGAAGAGTCACACACTAGAATGAAACAAATATCCAATGGCTTCTGATTTTTACTGGTCATCCAACTAAAATCAATATGTTCATTTATGAAAACTCCACAACGTTCACATACCCCTGTTTTAATGAAAATGCTGTCGTATTTACCGCCAAATCGAAACTTCATATCAATCAAAAATAATTCCAGGGAAAAAATTTATTGATACAACTTCAACATCATATAATTCCACATGGGATGAGTTTTGATGAAGTAACTTGATTATACTATAAATCACATAGTAGACTCAATCAAATACTGTTTTTTTTTATCAAAAGCTATCAAACATGTTTAGCTTCATTTCGTTAAAATGTTAGTTTGCTTTCTGTATTCATATGTGATTGATAAAATATTTCCCACTTTAATTTCTCGCATTATTTATAATATTCAGTAGGATGAGAAGGATAATCTTTTTTTTTTAATGCTAAAATTTAACTGATATTACAAAAATCGTTTGATTTAATTTTCAACTGAAACTATACTAATTTTTATTCACGTGTAAGTCAGAGTCTTAGTTACATAATTTTAAAACTGTTTGCATTGAACAAATATCAAACAGCTCATACACTCAAATTCATCATCTCTAAAATTTTCGTGTCAATTTATATTAAAATAAAATTCTAATTGACAAAGTGATTCTTTTCTCGACAGATTTACTATTACATAAAGTTAATCACAATTTCAAATTCAATTACATCAAGAAAAAAAAGATACTTAAAATTAATCAGATGTTATTTTTTTCTTTGAAGCGGATGTTTCCCAAACACAAAACTTTCCATTCATAGATAACTAAAATGTCCGAAAATTGTCTGTATAATTATCTAGATTGTGGTTCATTTTTTATGATTATTTCTTTCATGTATTTAAAAAGTGAACACTTAAAACTGATATTCTCTTCGACTAAATTAAAAATAAAACATGAATCGGGTATTTTATTGAGAACAAGAAAAAATCTATTGAATTATGACCAATAAAACCCAACATTTATACAAAATTATACTCTAACGCTTTCATGTTAGACGAGTTTAAGCAGTCGATTGAAAACATTCCATTTAGGTTTCATCCCACTCGAATAGTGATGGAATTTTTACTTCTTCCGGACTATGGACTTGTATCATCTGACATTACAGTCCCAGGCACGACTAATGACCAAACTACAATCTAATAGACGGAATTCTATCATTTACAAAGACTAGACAATTTTATAATCTGATTTATTATTTGTCTATTAGACTTGATATCTCATATGGTAAAATAAAAGACGACTAAATATGCTCTCTCTTTCTGAAAACGCATCCCCAGATTAATAACCATTATAACGATTGCTTCTGCATTTTGAGCTTAACTACTGCTTGACAGATCATAACCAACACAGTTGGCTATTGAAAATCAATACTGGAAGCTAGCTTTGTGGTATTTTTGGACTACGTAGGATCCGATAGAGTACATCATGAATGTGTTTACAAACATAAACACTGATGTTAAGGTTGTGCTGAATTCTTTATAACCGTGTAATGAAAGTCATTTGGATTTAGAATTTAGTAATCATAAATGTTAATATGAAGTTAATATAAAGCAAATTTATTTACTGAACAAACTACAAGTTCTCTGCTTGTTGGCTTATTCAATAAGTAAAATGTTTATAACATTTAGCAGTGATTCGTATCTATATTTCGTGCGAAATATACACATTGACAAACTATTAGTTTAGATTTAGTGCAATGAGTTGTGAATTAAAACACTTGATTATGGTCGACTGCTTTAGATGTTCTCACTTTCTTCACTTTAACTTGCTACAAACGGCATCAGTATTTCTAACACAAAAAATGTCTAACAGCCAATCAAACGAAACCTGAAATGCAGTGCATAAAGGATTTTAAACTCAAAGACAAATTTTTAAGGTTTTACGTCCAACTACTCTTTAGGTCATTAGTGAATATAGTCAGGTAGTAATTCGCTGACTAATTAACAAATTAACTGTCTAGTGATTCTTTATTTCCAATAGTTCTCTAGTTGATGGTGATTCGTTATGAAAAGTTACTTCAAATAATAAAAATATTACTCTATTTCATAAATGTAATCTAATAAGCAAACTTATCTTTTTTCTCAAAGTTCATTTTGAATTAGTTAGGAAAACGGCATTTGCTTGCCAAGAGTTGTTCCTTCGATGATTGATCGATTTAAGTTAATAAATAGGCTATGGAATAAATTGACATACACATTACCTTAAAAAGCCTTCACAATAAATCAAAAATTCGTGACCATTCTCAGTTAATATTCAAATGTCAAATACAAAACAACTTTCTCACAAATGCTGTTACAAATAATTGTTAAAAGTCTTTTCGAACAATCAAGCCAGTTTGTATAGATTATATTTATTTATTGTATCCGAAGCCTTATCAAATACAACATCAGAATATTTTCTCAAAGACATAGTGAACATACTTTCATAATAACAGAATGGTATTCTCTTTCTATAGTTCTCATCTTTTAATTATGAATAGTTATATAATGGTTTGAATTTAACGCGCAAACCTTTTAATCAATTTATTCATCTGTATTAGTTGTCTGATAAGTCGCTTTGGCATATGTGCATACTGTGCGCATTGCCTTATTATTGCCTTCAAGTTACAAACATTATCATCAAAGGTGGATAGTGGCTTTCTGAGTAACCAAGGACGCATGTTTCTTTCCATTCGAGACTCATCAGCTGAATATACCTGCATCTCAGAGTTGATGTCCACTCCGGGTCTGTGTATTCCATTTGGCTACCAATTCCTGATAGCTACTCGCCTGTGAAATGGTACATCTAATAGATCAGTCCCAAATAGGAAGAAACATGACTCCAGGATTTCACTACTGGCCACTCTTCACCTCTGTTAATTTCTCTTTTAATTAATTGGTTGTTTAGTATAATCTAATATGTTTTTACAATAATAATTATTATATTCTTTTCTCAATTTTCTTCAGTCTCAAGCAAATAAATCAAAAATGTTTGCTCAATGTTTTCAACAAGATAAATTTCATATTTCTAGTACATTTTACATTTATCAACTTACAGAAGATGATGTTGGCAAATATATTTGTGAGGTCAATAATGGAATAGGTGAACCAGTAAAGAAAACATTTAATCTTTTACATCATTGTAAGTCTCTCTTTCATTTACACAAAAACTGATTTAACATAATCAACATTTAACAACAACTGATCACCGTTCAGTTTTTTTAATTATGATCATTCTGATTACTCAACAGTGATTACGTCATCATTTGAAGTTTTCTGTTTTGAGACAATTTCTGTAAGTTAGACTCCAATGGGTAACATCGGGCTTTATCAGTATTGTAGGCGTACACTGCTACGCCTTTTGCTAACTGCCTAGAACAAGTATGTAATAATAGGGATTTGTACATTATACTACACTATTGGACTTTAATAAACTAAAATAAACTGGTCGTTTGGGAAATAAAATCCCTTTCGAAATATCTAGGATAATATCGGAAGTTTGCTATTTTAGAACTTGTGGTTTTTGCTAAAACCAACTCACTCTTCATCCAATATATATATATATATATATATATATATATATATATTTATGCTGGTAAAATTAACAAACTAATACAGTCATCTGATAAAAATTTTTGCAATCAAATAATTCCAATTCAAAAAAAAAAAAAACAGAAAATATGTCAATGAGTTTTATGGCGTAATCAACCACTGAGATAACATTTTTATTGTAAATTATACAAAATGACAGAACGATGATACACATAAAAACATTAGTGACACCATGATGATAATAACTGATATTCATAAAAGTTTAGGTAGGATTTTCGACAAAATAAAAACAAGGATTGGTAACTACAATTGGCTGAATGAGTCAGACGTGAATTGATTTTTTTTTTAAAATTCTGACAAAAAAATAGAAAGGTTTTAATAGCAATCACAGACAAGGAGGAAATTAGACTAAAATGATTAGTTGTAGTTTTATTGTGATTAAGTCAAAAGTGGTGGAGATGAAAAATCATTCTGAAGATCAAAAGTTAATAGTTAAATTTATCGAAATAGGTTAAATAGTAATTTCGATGATGAATCTTTCCTGTTTGGTTGTAACAATGAAGCATTGTTCGGTTGTTCACTTGACTTAGTTTCACTGAATTTAAAACAAAATTTGTACTATTAGTCTATCTATCTTTAATCCCAAATAGTTCTGTTTCGAAACAGAAAAAAATTCACCTGTCTACTGTGATTGTGAAACTCGAATGATAGGAATTTGTTCAACTTAGTTGTTTGTGCGTGTAGTTACATATTTAATTTTGGTAAACCAAATTAATAGTGTTTTGTCTAAGTGAGGATGATTGTTATTGTTAAAGATTATAGTAAAATATATTATGTATCATCATTTGTATGATCGATTCGATGGACTTCATATGTTGTAGCTATGTTAAAAAATGATCCTCACATTTCTGTTTGGTGTTATTATTGTACATTAACTCCGGTTGGCACGTCATTTATGAGCAACAACAAAATATACATACACGTATTTTAATCTTCACTCTGTTTGTTCAATTTATCGCCATTATCGCATTCGATATCAACTCCTTCTCCTGGTGAAATTTATTGGCATAAGATCCCATATCAAGGGAAACTATAAATTTTATGTCGAAATTGACCTCATACTGTTGATAAATTTCAACTTTCCAATGAGTAACACACTGATGGTGTTTTGTATGCAGTTTCAGTTAATATTCTGTTCAAACAATAATGTATACTTTTTGATCGAACAGTGAGAAGCCAAGGCCTCAACATTTGTCCTTTAACATTTCTATACAGTATTTTGAAGACTGTCTTGATGTCAATCTTATGCCGTCTTAGTTACGATCGAAGAACATGGTTTTCTGTTTCCCACGCTAATCGGCTCATCTGATGTTAAATGATTTTGAAGCCACTTAGGTACATGTTCCATAACCCTTGATTGCAAAGTCTGATTATTCCTCCCTATGTATGTGTGTCCACACAAACATGTAAATTGATAAATGCATTGAGATGTGACATAATCATTCGAGCAATGTTTAGGTCTATGTGGAATCATGGGATTAGTATTTTCAATTATAATCAGATGAACAGCGTTGTAGGACGAATTCTGAGGTTTATGTAGGCCTTGGCTGTTCGTACTTTGTAACCACCCCTTATAACTTTGAATTTACCGTGGTAATATTTAAGCATAGGGTAATGTGACGATTTCCTACCCTTTCTTATTCTTTTCATTTTACGTCGATTTTCTCTCCTCTATTTACAATTATCACCTTATGTCTATTTGAACTTTTATTTAATTGACCTTTTATTAATCTTCACATAAAAAGTAAATATGTGTGACCAGATTGTTCAAAATGTATAACGCGAATGCATCACATTTTTCAGATAAATTACGTCTTCTCACTGTTCTATCAAAATTTATAAAAGGGACAAATTGTTTTAAATCATGTATACCATAACAGATTTTAAAACATTTTGCAGAGAGTTTTTTTCATTCTGATTGAAAAATTGAGAATAATTTTTCTAATTTTCTTATTATCGTCCAACAATTTATCCATTTGCCTACATAAACTAATCACATTATTATCTTATGCCAATTTGCGACACTTATTTGATGATTGCTCATAAAATTTACTTCAAGTTTTCTTTTAGTGATCTTGTCGCACGAAAAGACTGTACTGTTTTTTTCGGTGAAAGTGACAACTAAAATACTTGATTCACTACTAACGATTAGAAAAACACGTTATTTGAAGAGTTAAGAAAATCCAGTTCAAAACTCACCATTCGATTGATACGAATGAATAATTTTAGTGGAATTTAACAACTCTATCAGATTGTATTTCTCAGTAATTATCAAAAACATCATTACATTTCAATATTAATTTAAGTATTGTAATTTTAATTCATTATACTGTTACACTGATGCCTTCATGAAAAAAAATTATTTTTTTATGATTTGACACTATGTAATTTATATTTGTATGAAATTACAGTTCCTCCAAAGATAATTCAATTGCCTCGATATACAAAAGCAGCTGGTGTACAAGGTTCCAAAGTATGGTTAACCTGTTACATTCGTACAGAACCAATTCCACAAATTGCATGGCTCAAAGATAACAAACTTCTTTCGATGGATGCGTTAATTCAAAATAAAAAGTCAGAGAGTAGAAACGACATAAGAAAATATGAAGATTTTCTGACGCATATACGTCCTGGCTTATATAAAGCTCAGTTAGCTGTCAACGATATCAGAAAATATGACTTTGGTTCATACAAGTGTCAGGTTTGTATTATTGCGTAAAAAGAACTGAAATTTTAATGTAAATAACCTAATCTAATCATGTGTATTCGAGGTGAAACGGAAAAACTCAAGTGCTTTAGTAATAATTTGGAAATAAATGCACACGCGTTCACAATCAATCTAATTTCGATTGACATGTCGGCATTTCTCACTGCGTTAACCGTATTTTACATCGGCTAATTTTCCAGACTTTTGGGATGGGTCTTTCGGTGCACTGATCCTAACGGATAAACGATTGAAAAGAACAAAATCCTTAGCATAAGAGTTCTGGTGAGATCTACGAGACTTAATTACAAAAGGAATGAGGCTGCTGCACCAATGGCATTGAATGATCACCATATAAAATGACAGACATCAAAAGTTTGGACATTTCGATCCCCATGTAACTGTTTGAAATCATAGTGTACGTTAAGAAACCAGTTTGTGAACCAATTAATTCATGATAAATAAAAGTTTTTGTCACTATAGGGTTATGGAAATTTCTGAGTTTAGTTGAAATTATGAATTGATCAATGGATAAGGTTGTGAAGGACCGTAGATTGATCAAAGTTAAACATTAACATCGTCGGATGCTGGCTCAGAGGTCTAGAGGTTAATTGTTTGCGCAAGACGTCGAAGGTCCTGGGTTCGACTCCTGTGAGTAGGGGTGGTGGATGTGCACTGCTGATGAGTCCCCTACCAGGATGGAACGATCGTTGGGTGCTTCCAGGTTTTTAATGGTTGTCTAATAATTGCTAACTTGAACTCCAAAATATATTCGGCAAGATTCGAAATGAATACTTTTGCAGTATTGCATTACGAAAGCTCGATTTAATTATGATTTTAAACATTATTATCGACTTCTCTCTTTTACAGGCTGCTAACATACAAGGTGAAGCTCATTTGGAAATTAATTTATCTGGAACATCCACTCCAGATGTCCCGATAAATTTTCGTCTTCTAAACGCAACTCCAACAACTCTACATGTTGCCTGGACTCAAGGTTTTGATGGTGGATTGGCACAAACGTTTCAGGTTTGTATTTTCTTGCTTTAAATCTCTGTCTAAGAATGTTTGAAAATTGAAACTTGACTGTAAAAACTTCTCACAGAAGACTTTCGATGCGTTGTATGTAAAATTTGGAACTCTAAATAAATATCCTATGGCACCGTTGACACAAATCTGTCTAGCTTAAGGAGGTCAAATATAGGTGACGGAATGAAAGATTGTCCACATTATAGAAAGATTCAGTTTAACTTGCAATCAACTTCATGATCTATTTGCAAATTTTTTTGCTTTCTTTTTAATAAATATCATGGGAAAATAAATCTGATCAATTAGCTGTTTTTAGTAAAATATCAAAACATTGTATATATACCCATTAAACTGTGTTTTACATATGTTTAGGATGCTATTGGAATCATACTGCAGAGGCTTTACATACATACAGTCACTCAACACTCATTAGTTTCGAGTGATTGATAGTGCTGATCTGTCACTCAAGCTACCTATAAGTCAAAAATTCCGCACTAAACCTTATTACTTAGAATTTTTTTCATAGTTCGACACAGATGATTTAGCGAAAATGTTTTTTAGGGAAAACCAATTTCACTGAAATAATATTCATTACTCCTTGTAAAGACTGCTTAATGAGATGTTCAATTTATGATGTTATTTATCGCCAATTTCTATATGGTATTTCACTAACATTTTTACCAAACTTAATTGCTCACCATTTATCCAATACTTTATCTGTAGACATTTTAAATTTACCGGTGCATTGCTGTTTCTTTCAATTGTCTAACATCTTGAAGTAAACAAAATATTGGCAAATTTAACGCATGTTTCTCGTAAAATAGAATAGAAATTAGGGAATAATATATGTGTAGCGCTTCTACTCTGATAAATATGTCAAAAAATAATTAAGGATTTTTATGACATTTAATTTCATTAATGAACTTATTCAAAAAAAAAACATTTTAATCTGGCAAAAAAAACTTAATTTTCCTTGATTTGAAATTGTCTGTAATGTCTCTTTTTTGTTTTAAACTTTTTTACTGGATATGTTTTTGATTATGTAAAACAGGCGGAAATTTCAATATTCAGTTAACTTGTTCTAAACGTTTAATCCTTTGCAACTAATAAAATTAGTTGAAATAATGTAAATCAACTTCATGTATATTTGAAACGGCTCCTCCTCTGTATTTAGATAAATTATAATGATAAATTTTCAGAAGATACAATAATCCGAAAGAACAATTTAAATAATGCGATTAAACTAGGGCTTGTGCATACACTTTATTTAATCTATGGACCACCCTGTAAACCTAGTTCATGAAGAGAAAGTTTATATTTTAGAGTCAAACAAAGAATTCTTTGTAGAATTAGAGCTGGAAAAAGAGTATTCGGTATATTAAACAGACATTCTAGAAACGTCTACATTGATTTGATATACACCCATACATTTTCTCTCTGTCTAGTCAGAGGTTAATTAAACAAAATACAGTTAACTAACAACTGAGATGCTTAGAATAGTCTTTCATGTTTAATATGAATGTTTTGGACGTATTTCCATGTTTGGTGATAGAATGATGAACTGTTATTTCGATTACTTCTCATGTTCAACTACCGTAAATGGAAAAGCAACTTAGTAGACTTTAATTGTAAGCGATTCACCTCATTTATACCAAACAATTTACTTCTTATTATAGATATACTTATTGAGTTATTTCTATGAATAGCTGATTCTTTAGTAAATTATCATACTTTCCCAGAGTCAAAATTACAATCTTAATAATTAATTCTGTTTATTTTCCTACAATCAATTTCACTAATTGACAGGTTCGTTGGCGTGAAGTTGGTTCAGTTAGTTTGTACAAATATGCTGATGTAGCATCGAATGGTAATCGAAATGGAGTTGAATACTTAATCACTGGTATGTCCAATTTTAAATGAGGATGTTTTAAGTTTGTAAAATATTTCATTGATAACTACTTTCAAAAGTGTTGCTGATTTAATGGATATATTATTTGATTGTTTAGTCTGTATCTGTCTTCTATTTTCGGGTTCATCAACTAACCAAAATGTTTTGTTCAGCTTGTAAAAGCTTATATCATAGGAGACAGAAACTTTCGCCGAATAAACAAAAGCACTTTGTTTTAACTGTTTTATAATGATACTAACTGGAAATTTATACACCTTGTTGAAAATCAAAAATCACTATAAACTTTCTGTTTTTGCAAAAAAACGTGCTGTGAAACAGTTTTGAAATTCAGCAAACACATAATACATTTTATAATACATGTACTTTTCAGAAGGCAATAATAGTTTTCGAAATAAATCGGCCTGAACTTGTGTTGTAGCCATCATAACTAGGTTAAGTCTCAAAGAAATCCATCATTTAAATACTATAACTGTATGTAACCAAATGACATCTGATATGCAAGCTGTTAAAATGTGTTCAAACAACTTACAATTTACAACTTATGAAGAAACTCAATTATGTTTTTAGTAATTTTCAATGTTTGATAATTTATCTTTATCTAAAATTCATTAATTCTCTCATTTGTGTGTTAGGTGAATTTTATCTGCTTAAACCATTCAGAATGATAATAGATGAATTATAAAATATATTGCTCTCGGTGTAGAATGAGGAGTAGCAGTATACATCAACTAGGAGTAAACAAGTAACACTCATTTCTGACTTTATTTAACAAAAAATTAATATTAACTACTACAATAGTACAATATTCAGTTTTTCTACGCAATGCAGTTTGAAGATACACGATGCATGAATCAACTTTGAAATAAATGAACTACATTTAAATTTGTTTACCATTATTGATCAATGAAGTTATTAGTTATGTGAGATTTTCTAAAAGAAAATCGCATTTACTTCACATAATCCGATTACCAAACATTTGAATCTGTTAAGGTGTTACTTTAATAAACTAAAATAACAACATACAACTATGATAGCATATGCTATTGTTGAAGACCATGTAAATGAATAATTCATCTGTGAACAGATTTTATTACTAACTATTACACAGCTTAATAAGTAGTATGCAAATGTAACTTTGAAAATAAATATTATTATTCAGTGTTTTAGTCAGAAACTTTTATAGTTTGCCAGTTTATATAAGTACCAAATTGATTAAACTGAGCCAAGTGAAAAATAATCGAAATAATTAATCAAAATATAACTAGAGGACAATTGTATTGAATCTAATGTACATTGGCAGAAATTTATCATCATTTATGATTTCCATTTTAACTAAATAATTTAGTTATTTTTAATTTTTTAACACTATTCAACTCTGTCTAGATAATTTGTTGTCATTAGTTTGTGAATACAATTGGTTTATACCGTTTTCATCGTTGTTATGCGTTTGCGTTACAGTGAATACTGTGTAGAAAACTATGATAATTTTGTCGTTTAATTGTTCTGTTTAATTAATGTAAGCTGTGTCTCCTCTATTCAGCTGTTACCTGTATACTATTATTAATAGTCTTGTTCTTAGTACTAACATAATTAAAACTGAAGATAATTCATAACTTTGAGCTAAGGATCCCCAGGAATAGAATATTCTCACTGCGAAAAGAAAATTCACTCTTATTTTCCCAGTTTTTCATGATTTGACGTATTTATAATGCTAGCTTTAGTAATATTTTAATATGCTCGCTTTATTTTCTGTTTGTAGGCTTAAAACCTGGCAGTGAATACATAGTCAGTGTGAACTCGATGAATTCAAAACATGGAGCTAGTGCTTATACAGATCCTATTAATTTGAGAACCTTATCATGTGAGTTCAATTATCAACATTCCAAATATAATGAAGTAAAGACATTTATTGATTGATGAATTTAGTTAGGATTTTATCGGTTATTGTCCACAAAATTGACTTACTTATGAAACAGTTTGACTGAATTCATTAGTATACAGTAATAATAAATGAAGCTAACATTAAAACGTAGTTTAACATATCATCCAACGATAACGTGATGAACAATCATTTACAAATTTGTGAGATAATTGTCGTTAAAAACTTTTTAACTATCATGCTTTTTACAAGTTTATTTTTCTTATGATTTCATAAAACACTTTTGATAAAATGTATGTAATTCATTTAATCTAAGATAATTAAAAAAACGGAAATATTTTCTAAAATATCTGAAAAAAAGCTTTATGTAATTAATTAAACTATTTCATAATAAATTTTAACGAAATTACCATGATCATGTATTCATGGTTCATTTTGTTCAGATGGAATTAAAACGATGCTGTCTCTTTTGAAAAAAAAACACATCATTATGATGTATATATTTATATTGTTATCTAACAAGGAGTTCAGTTGCATAAAAAGCATCAAATAGAATTATTTTGTAGTTTGATAACAGAAAAAACAACAAATAAGTACGAACAATCGAAATGATGAGAATAGGTCATTGGAAAATATAATACATTACAAAATTTACTAACTATAATAATATTAACTTACTGATCAAAGTAACAGAATAGAAGAATAAATATGAGTATAAATATTTTAGTTATTCTTTAAGAAAGTGCGCTGTTATCACTTTGAATATTCATCAAGAAGTTAGACAAAGAATTAATAATTTTAAAAATAAGTTTACGTATGTATCATGATAAGATAAAATATTTAAACTAAAATAGACTGTAATTAAAGAAAATCCACTCGTCTGGGAATAAAAGATCAAGTAAGCAGACAGGAAGGAAGTTAATGGTTTTGGAAAACTAGATGTTAAGATAATAGTGGAAGAAATTTAAATCCCATATTGTATACATAACTTTAGCTTCTCTTAGAAGTATACCGAAAGCTTCTGTAATGCTAACAGGATAGAAGCTCAGTGTTGTTGACAAATGCCTAATTACTTTGTATATGATCAGGAGTGCTGATCCTGTTTTGATTACGTGACAGGTATTCCACATTAACAAGTCACAGAAAATAATTTTATGTCAATATATACTTCTTACTTAACTCTGTTTAATTAAAATCATAATTCAATGTTTTTTGATCAATAATGCTAATTGTACTGCTAAATATTATTTGGTTCGTAATTGAGTATGCTATTACGGGTTCAACTTAGTCGATAAACGCGAACCAGACAATGAACCAGTGTCCAGGTAGGCTACCTTGATCCCCAAACTGCAAAAGAGAAGTACTGATGAGCATGGAAAGTATATTCTACAACCACCCAGTGATCACAATACAATCAAGCACACAAATCTCCTTTATTTATACATCATAGAAACGTCCTAGGGACAGTCACAAAATAGCACACTAGAATACACAACAGTCAATCACAGCCATGGATTTTCCTGGTGGGAAATGAAATCTTGAGGTCAATTGGTCAACCCATTCTCGTAATCGTGAAATCCAAAATAAGGTATTTACCAAGAGAGTTCTGGGAATCTAACGTCCTCAACAATATATAATTATTTTTGATAAAGTATGATATTCTATTTTGTTAACTCTCATTCTTAGAATAATTTACCTCTTTTTTAAAAAACTTATTATACATATAGTAGATAAATACAAAGGTCATGAACCGATAACATCCTTATCAAATGCTGGATATTCCGACGATAATGCCCTATTAATCATAGTATCTGCATGTGTATTTGGATTTGTTGTTCTGCTTGTGAATGTTATCGTCATTATTTTCTTAATTAAACGACGTCGTCATCGAGATATGATGAGAAGACAACAATATAAATCATCGGATCAAGGAGTTACTATGGCCAATGGTATAGCATTAACACGAAATGATCAATCTGCGACTGATATGAAAGCACATCTTCAATCATCGTTTATCGATCAAAATGATAATTTTATAGATACTACTGATATGAGTACAACATGTATATGTTGTCCTCCTAAAAAACCAAAACTCATAAGTTCAGGTAAAGTAATTTTACTTACTTATCATTATTTTAATACCGATTCTTTGATAATCAAATGAGAAAAGAAAAAAATCATACTTTTTCAAAAATTCCTTTTTCCATTCTAGGTGATGTTATCTATCTAGGATACATTAGTTATTCTGATGAAACTATTAAGAAGTTGAATGTATAATACTCACTGATAATTATTCATTAAATGGTTATAAAAAGAGATGATCGAATGCCATAGTCAATATTGCAGATTAGTTGTATCAGCACTTTGAACTAGCTCCAATGACTGATCTCAGCTAGTTGACTGAATTACTGGAGTTATTGACTGTAGTAACTTTATATCTTTTAGTGAAAACTAAACAGCTTCTAAGCAAATTAGTCATCTAAATTGTCTATTGTTGTAGCTAAACGCTTAAATATTCTGTGAAATACAATCTAATAGATTATCAGTTGCTAATTTATGTTGTTAACATATTCACTCACTAGTCAAGAAACCCTACTGATTACATTACTTGATCTTAGATAGTAAATCTCAACAAATTTTAACAGCCAATGAGATAGATGAATAGTCACTGATACTTCTAGTGTGGCACTAAACTTAACTTCGTGATCTAATACATGGTTAATAATCAGAATAATTTATTCGTAGTATCCTCATGAGTTGAAAAGTTAAAATTTTTCTGACGTTTCCTGACTCAGTGGAAGCTACTTCTTCGGAGGTTAGTTTCAATAATGAACAATACAATATAAAAATGAATTTCCTAATTGGACCAAACTTATTAATCACATGCAATGCGAGGATAAAATTTGAGCAGTCTTCTGACGAGGTTTATTCTGGGAAATAACTATACTGTCATATATATATATATATATATATATATATATATATATATCATGCTCACTTATTTCAATATAAAGTTATCCATCAGTGACTAACGTACTGGATAGCACAATAACCAAATGGAATACGATTGAGGTATTACTTAATGACATTTAGTTTAGCTGCAGGAAAATGTAAGAGAAAATATCAATAAAGTGGATAAATCACTTCTAGTAAGATAGTACAAACCAGCTGGTTGACAATATTCAATCTTCCTTGGGTAAATAGTCATAAACAGAAATGGGAACGTTAGAAATTCGTCTTTTCTGTTGGAATTTGGTTAATGTGATTCAGTTATTTCAGGAGATCTCTTCCATTAAGAGACAGTAATAACTGCGAATTCATGAAACATTTAATGTATGGGAACATTTGGTGGATATTTCACCTCACTTTCAGACGTTACGTTAAATTTCTTAACTTTGGTCAATCTGTTAATAAAAGTAAACATCATTTATTACCGTTGATTAATAGCTACCTTGCTCCCAGATTTTCTAGCTTTGGCAGAAAAAGTTTCTCCATCACAAATTATTTATCCAAATTCTTCAGGTCTAATGTAGGTACATATATTTGTGAACATGTCACTTTATTATTAGTTTTTAACTATTTTCATTACATGTAGTGTTCAGGAATACTGAAGAGCCAAAAATTGCTCCTTTTCAGTTGAACGCTACTTAATATTAATAAGTACTATACTTGATATTCAACAATTATTGAGATCAATAATCGATCAGTGTCAGACTGTTATTGGAACGAAACCTGGAAGAACTGGACGGTTGTTTCATCCTAATACGGGACTCATTAGCAGCGTAAATCCACGACAACAATCTCCACAACCCTATGATAAAAACCATCATCTACTCACTAGTAACTATATTCGTGATGAGATTCTCGGAGTTCTAGTGAGAAGTCGTGACCAGTCGTGCTGGTTGTGGGACAGTCTCACGTAGAAGACAGTGGAGGAGGTCGCGCAGTATTGCGGGGTGCTTGAATTCAAACATTACCACTGTTAAATACCGGCTTAGTAGCCTCACGGTTTAGCTTTCGAGCGAGAGACCGGTGGTATTGCGTTCTAGTTTTCGCACGTGAGGGTCGTGGATGTGTGCACTTTTGATGTATAGAACAGCTGTCTAGTGCCTACAGGTTTTATTCCAAAGGTGATATAACGTTAATCAATTCGTGTCTTCAGTGAAACTAAACGATCTCCACAACCCTATAATGAAAATTAAATGATCATACTGATTTAACAATTCAGTTTTTAAAACTTCAGAATCAAGTATCAATAAGAGACTAAATGTAAAAACAGGTATGATCAAATTACTTTTAGCAAAGGAATTCTTTTAAATCCGGTTAAGTAAAATGCCTGATATTACGTCTTTCACAGCTAACCACAGACCTTTTTAATCTCTTTAGTATCAACCAAAGGGATTCCGCTTTCCTATCAGTCTCAGCTCAATAGTCAGTAACTCTATGAAGCAATGATTTGTTTCAGTGTGACTACCCGTGGTTTTCTTTCAACGCAACAAATATTCAGCACGCATCGGTCAGTCACTAGACATAACACATGAATTAAGCAACTTTCTAGATGAAAATTGACAATCTCATTCAGTGATTTACACCATTTATTCAGAAATTTGCTCCAACAGGGTCAAATTCGTTTAGATTAAAGCCACAAAATACAAAATATTTCATAAGTTCATAAAAACTGTTGTCCTGTGATTTTGTAATATTTCCTTTGACTATTATTATTATTATTATTAGTAGTAGTAGTAGTAGTAGTAGTAGTAGTAGTAGTAGTATACGGAACCTTCAGAATGGCTTACAAATACATTTTGTTGCTTAAGAGTGTTAATTACGGCTGTTTACCATGAAATGATAATATTTAATAGCTAAAACGTCCCGCTACCATTTATTTACGGTACTCAATTGATATTTACTTATTAGGTTATGTAAAAGCAGACTCCTATGGCAATTTTTCCCGTACACATGTTTATGCACCTCATGATACTTGTCCATCTCAATGCTCTCAGCATATACCTGCAGATGTTGGTCAACAAGGATATTTGTCGAACCATACCACTACAAGCAGTATTCCAGATTTTAATCATTTAACTTCTAATCCAATGACAACAGGTTATCCAGTTTGTCATTTAGCATCTCCAAATCCGTATTACAATAACACACTGAATTACCCAATGACTCGTCATAGTTCTACGGAACTTGGATTAGCTTATTCCTCAACAAACCCAGTTAATCAATCAAAACGTGAACATGGGAGTATAAAACATTCCACTCGCTATGGTCAACACACTCCAAGGCAACCGAATCAGTCACGTTACTATGGTGTAAGTTATATTTTAGTGAACCAAGATTTAATTATAAGTTCTTAACATAAACTATTTCACTCAACATATTATTTTCCTGTACAGAAGCTAAATTAATATATTTGAATGTTACTTGACTCCATTTTTTCTTTAAAAGTACCTAACAGTAAGTAATAGAAAGTAAACCACTTAGTCTGAATTAACATCAGTGATGTAGAGAGGTTTTTAACAAACCCCTTTAATGTATTTAAGTTTGACTATAAGTTTATTTAAATTATCTCAGTATTTTAATCCATGTTGGAATGTTCTAAAAAGGCGCTGTATAGTATGAAAAATATATTTATACATAACCATTTAACTTCAGTAAGCTAGTAAGTCAATAAACTGACCTAAATAGTCATTTAATGAGAAATAAGTTAAGAAGAACCTGAAATACTCTGACATCAGTTCAAATTAACACACCACATTAGCACAGTAATTTAAAATTATCAAGATAAATCCCAGAATAGTAAAAGTAGTAATGATACTAGTTGTGGCAGGAAAGATCAGGTATAAAAAATTCGATTTGTGGAATGAGATGAGATGAGATGATTTTGAAACTCAGGATCCAATGGAAGAAGAAAATTGGATGCACCATCATGAGTGATCCTGAGCAATGTCTCCACGTCTGCAACACCTGGTTACGATAGTCATGCAGTTAGGTAATAAAAACCTGCTAAGATAGTTTAGATCAATTATCAGTCACTTCACTAACTGATACCAATGATATACACAAACACATAACTCAGTATAAAGCGAACTAAAAACACTTGTATAAAATGATCACGATCGTTAAGTGCGAAAACACTTCGATTGTAATATACTGAGGACTGCCAAGTGTGACAAATATTTTATAGAGAAAAGCAAACTAGTTCTGGATATTATATGGTTTCTTTAGAAACATTGTCCGATGTAACTGGACAATAAGTAAATATGAACAGCTTGATGATTGGTTTTAACGCCATGAAGAAGAGGTATACAGCTAACGAAATCAACATGATCACATTTTTTATCAATAAATTAATATTTATTTAAAATATTTCGTAAATAACTATTACTTATTCAATAATCCCTTTTTTCTCTTTTCTCTTTCTTTTTTTAATTGTTGTCTGTCTATTAATGTTGTATTATTTGTTTCTTGTGAATTGTTAATCATAATGAAACAATTTAAGACACTTCAAAATCCTAGCTCATATAAAAAAATAACAAATGATCAATTTGCTGTAGATAATAAAATAAGTGAATGTACACAACTACAATCTATACTTCCTTCTACAATCTCGGTTAACAATTCAGCCACTGTAGTTAGTAATGGTTTAGGTTTAACAATAGTTAATCAGTCAATAGGTTCAGTAGCTCAAAATATTGTTTCTGATCAAACAGCTGATAGTTCCACAGAAATCCTCTCTACTGGATTAGCTGCATTTTCACAAATTAAACGGAAGTCTGAATTCGGTGACATCAGTCAAAGAAACAACTTGAGTAATGGGTTTTTCGATACAAACAAACTAACTGATGAGAATTCACCAATGGTTTCAATAAAAGTCACCTCTTTTCCTGATCACTTTAATTCTCAATCAATGGAATTAGGCTCGGATTTAGCAACATTTTCATATAGTGCACCTTTAGACTACAATATGGGTCCATCATGTACACCCATATTCTTATCTCTTGATCCCAGTGCATCGAATTCCCTGTTGATGTCAAATTCTCTAATGAATTGTCCCCAAGATAATAGTAAATTTTATGAAGTAAATGGTGAAATGTCTGTTACTCCTCTAATGATTCATTCACCAACCCCTGTACACACAGATCAGGTTCTAGTTTCAAACTACGTCCCGGTGCAACATATTTAATAAGCATTCTATTCTTTCCCTAGATAATAAATATTTCCTAAGTTTTTTTTTATAAATGCTACATGCATGTATAGCTACCGTGTTGTAAAATTTAATTATGTTATGAATTGTCTATAATGATATTCCATCTCCTCAATAATCTTCTATATCTCACTGTATGACTCCAAGACCAAACCTAATCTTGGAGGTACGCGTTATTTTTGTTCATCAAGAGAAGTTATCCAGTCGAACACATCTCGACAAAATATACCTCATTATGAAAATCGACAAAGTGTAAACAATCTTTCTCATGCAATATCCAGTGAAATAATTACTCATCAAAACCAATGTAATTGTGATCAACAATTTTCTATGCATAAACCACATCAAATTCAATATCACAAACGATTACCATATTCTTGTTCTACTTGTTTGAAATCAAAATCAAGTTTACATAATAGTAAGCAGTCATTTCATACACTTAACACTCAAAGCTCTGTCATTGGTAAGTTTATTATTTATACGTATTAATTAGAAATGTGAATAGACACATAGTTTCAATTTGTTTATCTTTGATATTTGTTCAAGTATGCTCTTTAGTTTTCTATGAATAAATCTCAACTTTCAGCGATCTTGCATTGAGCTTCCAGAAATGTGGATCATTTGGTATAAATAATAATAGGTGAAAATAGACACTTAGGTGTACAATGAAATGAAGCAAGTAATACAATATTCTGTGTCGTTTATGGAGAAGGAACATTTAAAAATATCTTTAATTAGGTGGATCAAGTGTTTCAGTGAGAGCTGTAATAAGTACAAGGCTGATGGAAGCCTGAAGCGATTTTAGAACTGCCATGTTGATAAAGCATTAAAAGTATACAGCCACTGGTGATTTTGTGGTGTGCGCTACTTATAAGTAGTATATGACGCGAGTGTAAACGTAATGTCTGGCAGCAGAAGATGGGGGAAGATCAAGAAAGGAAGAGTGGGAACACAATGGAATTTCTATGAAACGCATGAATAGTGAACTGTCAGACAATGGATTGATGATGGATTGAAGATTTGCAAATTAATCGTTTACGATATGGTTTTCCTATTATACTGAGTGACTCTGTAATTTTAGTCAAATTCAATTCGGTTGCCCTCACCTGTGTTTTCCTTCACTACATTTTCTAACTATTATTCTAGAATAAAAACATTTAGGGTTAGGGCAAGCTTTATGTATTTAGCGTCAAACTAAGAAGTAACTGAAGTACCTGACTTCTGAGGAGTTTAGTAGTTATATTAAAGAAAGGAAAAAACCACAGGACAAGTGCATTGTAATGAGTGAGAAATGCTCTGAATAAACTAAGACTGATACACCCTTAATTGCATAAAGTAACACTGAGGTAACCTATGTTTCAGTGAATCATAAACAAATAAATATATATACGCAGTTTACAAGATTCGAGAGTGTTACCAACCAACAATTTAAAATATTGAAATTTCTAAATAGCGGACTAAATTATTTATAAATTAAATAAATGGCAGAGCGTTTCTCCCATCTACAGAAAATAGACTAAGTAAAAGAATTCATTGTAAGTCTTTGATTTTTGAAAAAATTGTGGATCGAATTTTTGAAATATTTCAGATTCTAAATTTTGTTCGTCACACAGAGGAAGTTATTACGAAAATAATTTGGAATTCCATTCTTTTTTCAAATAGTCTTTTTTTTCAGTCAAAAAATATAAATGTATACGTTGTTAAAAACTTATATTTTATTAAATGAATTATTTGTAAGTTTCCAAACATTCAGTCAATCTCAAATGTAAAAAAGCATTTTTTTCTGTCACAAACTATCAAATGGTAATTGCAACAATTCCGGATTCATTCACGCATAAGTTTACAGACAATTTATCTCAAGTTTAATAAGATAACTTGAAAATATGCTACAACACTGACAAATGAATTTCGACAAAGAATTTTTATGATAAACATTCGAAACTACCTTCCTATTCATAGTTATCTCATTTTCAACAATAATATATCATATTAAAATCCTGAGTTTTTTAGTTGAATATTTTTTAACTGAAGATGAATCTTGTAGTCAGTTAAAAATTAGATACCGGTAACATTTTAATTCATTAAAAGAGAAACGACAACACTTGGACTTACTGAAGGTTTCCGAAAATTCACAGTATGCTTTTCAACGATCACTGTATAAGTTAATAAGTTTATTAATTCGTTCACACATATCTCGAAACTGTTCAGTAATGTGATAAGTTGAAAGCAGTGACAGAAAAGATCATTTTAAGTGATAAACTAAATTTCATCCATTTCTAACCACTTATTTCGATATTCCAGATAATTTTTCTGAAGAGGACAAGGATTCGGATCGTAGTCGTTATGTGGATCAACTTAGACGTATTCAGTACAGTGGTGGGCCAACCGCTCAGGTTTGTCTATTACTTTTTTAATCCTTTGATTTCACTCGTAAGCTGCTTAGGTACTTTTAAAAAAAAACAATTGTTTTTATAGATCTCGTATAAAAATAATTGAACATTGACATTGAACATTTTTTGTCTCGAAATGCAAAGTGTAACTTTAGGACTAGTTTGAATCAGATTTTGAATTAATAACATGGAATTAAGTGATTGAGCCTATCGACCACTTCACTTGACTTTGGACTCTCGTCAGTCCTGATTGTCTGATGTCAGACAATATGTATACAGAAAGTTGACTTGGTTTTTACCTACTTGCTTCACTTTTGTGTAGGTGAGCTATCCATCTTCCAACAAAAGAATGAGTTTGCTGTTCAGTAGTCCACTGGGTCTACTGCAAAATATGGCCTTTAGTGTGTTTTTGAAACATCGCTTGGGACACAGAGTTAGGAATAGGTTATTGAATAAACACGGCAAATCAATTAATGAGGTCATGTATGCCCGACCACCAGCTACTATGAAAAGTGATTTTGTTCGGCATGGAAGTAAGTTGGAAGTAAGCTTAGGACATTGAAACCAAAATCTGGCACCAGTGTAGTAAGTCACTGTCTGCTAGTGTCATTCGTGCAGGCTAGATGTAAATTACTTTGTTGGGGATGGGTGATTACGGGAACAAATTGTTGGAGTCTTTGAATGGCTCAGAATTGTAAGAATTGTTGATGGTGCCTTCACTTCTTGTCTTCTTTCAGAACCTGATTCCTTAGTACACTTTTTAAAATATCCAATGGCTTTTACTACTACTATTATTGTTACCGTTTCTATTATACCGGATTTTCTTGTAGTAGTTTTATTTTGCCAATCTAATATGGCATAGCAAATTTCACCAATGCACACATGTGTCAGGTTCTACGTTGTACATGATGGAAATGAGATAAGTCGTTGAAACTAAAATTAATAAACATGAACTCAGTCACTATTTCACTCATGTACGTTTTTTTGCATCAGATTATGTATGCATGTTGAAAAAAAGCCAGATCTCTTCGAGTAGTAAGTGAAACGTTTCAAGAAGTTCAACTGTGATTAAAAGGTCTATGTATTATCTTCAGATATAACCTAATTAAAACCATTAACTTTTTTGTATTGTTTTCCAGTTCGAATTATGAAAGCTTGTTTGAAATAATTTACTCTTAAATATCATGAGAAATATGCGGTTGTTACAAACCGTATGTATTAAAAGTCGGTTTCGATTTTCGTCAAAAATCATTAGATTATTAAATTGAACTTTTCAAGTTTCTTTAAGCCTTAAAACTGGATTTCGTCAGCGAATGACATCGTATAAAGGACTATTATGAGTCAAAAAGAAACTAAAAAGCTTCTTAATAGTAGCTTTTAGCTTTCCAAACGTATGTACGCATGAAGAATTAGCTACTTACAAATAGAGGCCACCATATTTCAACTTACTAGCTTAAAACTAACGTTCGCACTACAAAAGTTGGAGTTTCATACAACACTTAAACATATGTCATATGTTACCTGGTTTTCAGTGGTTCGTTAGATTTTATCATTTAATAATGAACGTTACTTTCGAACGTATCAAAATCACTATATTCAAACAATATTATTATATTTACTGTAAATCACTCTTCTTAAAAGAATTCGCAAATATGACGTAATAGTGAATAGTGATTTCAGATTAACGTTAGTTCTCTCAGTCATTCCATGTAAAATGAATACGGAAAAGAAGCATCATATGTAATATGAAAAATTTTTAATGTATTTAACTCTTGTCAACAAATCAATGTTAAAAAGAATATTATTAACAGACGTACAAGTAAAACTGTTGATCAGAGTCAAGATGGCTAATAAGAGAATAAAAGAAAATTACCAGGTTGTGGAAACAGTAAGATTTTTATTCCATTCAAAGTAACAGAGTAATATGCTACTAATAAGTAATGCTTTTTTAATTTACAGCTTTTATTAGGTGATATCAACATACATAGCGATCATTCAAGTCCTGATTCAAATTTAGCACCTGCTCAAGAGGAGCATAATTTAAACAGATTTGAATCGAAATCCAAATTAAATTTGCGCAAGACTGAATCGTCAAACAATGCTGAGAATAATCACTTTACCTCCAACTTAAATCAATATAACCAACAACCAGACGGTTTAACAGACGATGGAAAACTTGAAACATCAAGATTATTGTATTCAGGTCAGTTTAGCCGTGAACAACAACAAAATCAATATATTTCTGATGGCTTCTCTGCAATTCCAAATGTAGATAGAAGTGAGATTAGGTCAACTCATCTATCTGACTGTTTTGTCTAACATCTTTTATTTTCTTTCTCTCTCTTTTTAAATTAACTTCTGTTTTGTAAATTGTTGCTTCAAACTCACTTTCTTTACTAATTAATATTTCCGGTTTATGAGTTGAATGCTACAATTTATAAGCAATCTATATCTTTTACTGATGAAAACATTTTCAATATTCGTAAATTACTTAGTATTTCGAATAATACTTACTTTCCTAACTAACATTCCTCATATGATTATAAATTAAAAAACAACCCAATCAAGTTCGTTCTTACAAAACTACATTACATGAGTATTTGTGAATTCTTTCTCAACCTTTTGTAATATTTCATATTCACACTTGTATAACAATGTAAAGTTAAACATTTCTGGTTAAATTTTAGTGTATTTACGATGAAAAGTCGCTTTTGAATTGTGTAATGATAAACTCCTAATTTCACATCAGTCTAATTTGATAACTGACAGACAAGAGTTGGTGTTGTTTTTCTTGATTAGCTGAAAAAAAAAGGACTTGTAGGTTGTAATTATTCATCTCAACTTTACGATGTTACTATAATTATTAGTTGTATAAGCATGTGATGATTGTGAGACTATAATTTTTCACAGAAAATAAATTATTTTCTCTCCTAATATTGGTCATTATTTTTGTTAGAGATGAAGATTCAACCTTTTCAAGTTGTACACATAAGATTCCAAGGTTCCTTTTGATTAATTACAATAACTATTTTAAAAAACAATACAGACTGTTTGCATGTTCAATAATTATCATTTATAAATAGGCTAAAGTATGAAAATATGATATGAATAATATATTCTAAAGTGATCGGTTCACGGTGTCAGCATATAAACAGTGATTAAATCAGTAAACTACTAGACATTTTTATAATTCCCACATCTTTTTATTCAACAGTAAATTTATATCCGTAATTATTGTCCATTTCAATACAACAAAACCCATTTATTAATGTAAACGAATTGATAAGGACACAGTGTTCGATAGTTGTAGGTAGTCGACTGGAAACTCTAGACCTATGTTTTGTACTATCTAACGATATCTGGCAAAGTGTATCTGAAATTTTAAGGGATCTGAGACTACTGGATTCAATCTTCAGTCACTAACCTTCACTAAACAAACATGCTATTAACCACAACTTGGTGACCAGTCGTCTTGAAAACAGGATGCCGTTTACTATCATCAAGTAATATTACTTATTTTAGGAAAACCATATCAGTCAGTCAATCAGTTACACCATAGAAGTTGATAAGTACATACAATAATTCAATTTTCTATACTGCAGTTGCATGGATAGATAAGATTTCCAGCTTAAATTCCAGAGTAATCACAATATTATTGGCGGCGGAAGAGATTAGGTATCAAAGATACAGTTCAAGAAACTATACACAAGAGAAATAAATTTACAAAAGATAAAAAGGTCATGGAGAATTTGGAGAGAGACAAAGAATGGGTGCGCTCACAACATTTCTTGAGTTGTCATTCAAAGTCTTTAATCATCGGTTACGATTGTCTCGTGGACCGCAAATAGGTAGTCTACGAGTATTAACAGTTCAGTCCAATTGTCAGAAACTTCATAGACTAGTGCCATGTTTTGGTTTGTCCATTTGTATCTTTCTTCCAGCCTACTCCTACACCAAACAGCATCACCCGTCTAGGTGGTCGGTGGTTGAGCATACGTAACACACTTGCCCCAACTACCTCAACTTATGGAGATTCACTGCTTCATCAGTTGACTTGCGATCGTTACCTAGTAACCTTTTCCTTACTCCGGCATTGCTTACTCGGTGCTTCCAGGATATACGAGCAATGCTTTGGAGACACCTGTAATTGAATACTCGTGACCTACGCATATCCATTATTGTTAATGGCCACGATTCACACACGTAAAGTAAAATGGAGCGAACCGCTACTCATTATTATCGTCCTTTGGTTGGCAGATAGATTTCTCACCTACGCCACAAGTGATGTACATTGGCAAAAGCTATTCAAGTTTTCTGTATCCAAGGCGTGATTTTCTGAGACACCAGGCCATCAAGGCTGATGAAACTCTGAAGATAAGTGAAGTGATTGACATGCTCAACTGTTTCACTCCCTATAACTAACTTATTACAACATTTTGCGACTGTGGTTGGAGAACCGCACTTCAAATATGCTTATATCGGGGACAATAGTATCTTAATAAATAGACTAAAAACATTATTCGTGTCTCTTGAATCATACTTTCAGAGATCAGTTACGGGTTGAAAAAGTCAGACCTTTGATTTAATAACTGTTACGCCTTCAAAATACATAAATGAATACTATACATCTTTCGATTTGATGCTTTTTTCATGAATATCAAAACGAACAGAACAAATAATTTTCTTCTTTAAAATGTGAATAGCTAATCTATACTTAACCCCAGTCAAATATCTCATAGATTTTGTTTTCATGAACTTGAAATCTTCAATCAGTTGACTGAAGGCAAATTTTTGATGAAAATGTTTCGCTCAACCGAATCTGCTGGCTTGTGGTTACACATTATTACCATGTACATTATTACTTTCCCATTTCTCTTAAGTCTCCCTGGTGAATGAACCTTTTTCTTCATCATTATATTCTAGGTGTAAGACACTATGAAAATAACTGTTCGTCATGTTCAAACATTCGTAATTATATGACGTCTAACAGCTCTATTTGTGGATTTACTAGTTTCGGGAAAACTTTTATTTTTACACATCTGAATCATGAATCAGTCATTGTTAGACCATCTTTAGAGACCTGGAGGCACTAGAAGGTCATTTCGTCCTCGTATGGGTCTTTTCAGCAGTCTATGTCCACGACTACTGCCACTTGTAGGATTCGAACCCAGAACTTCCGGTCTTGCGAGCGAACGCTAGACCTTTAGATCACTGATTATCACCTTAACATGCTAAATAACGTACTGTGTCTTACGAATTGTTGTGATAGGAATGTGTATCCATGCATTTTAAACAACTTAAAATTTATCTTGGCCTCAGATTAAAATTAACTTACTTTTTATCTATCTTCTTGTAAATAATAATTTTTAGGCACAACGTTGTCATTTTTTAATTAATTATTTCAGAACTTTTTATTTTAACGGATAGGTATTGTTGTAAAGTGGTTTGGAATGAGGGGATACCGATACTTAGTTTATCCTTACCTCTATATATTTTGCAACTGGAAAAGGGACCATCAAGAGTATCATAATTGGCAATTACAGAGTGGCCATTCTTAAGCTACAAAGATTATATCAGAAATTCTGTTCCTTTGTAGTCTCATTCCTGACGGAATATAACCTTTTAGCAATCGAATGTTTCGACAAAGAGACCATACTTTAGAATTAATATTTTAAACGAACAGTCAATATGAAAATCAATGATATAAACATTTTTTTCATGATATATTCAAATTACTTCTATTACTTCTGTAAGCGAACATCACATGACATATTTCTGGAAGCTACTCGAATACTGACGTTTAAGTAAAATAATCCTGCGGTTCAGTGGTTTGAACGTTTGACTCTCAAAGAAAAACGCAGAAGGCTTAACCTCACTCCCTTAATGATCGGTCAATATAGTCACATTATCTACCCTTAAAAAAAGAGTGTGAGGATGCAATCTTAATTACCTAAACAAATTTTTGTAAATAAGCCACAGGCCCAAAACTTACCACCTAAATAAATTTCTTTAAGATAGAATCCATGTTTTATTACATAACTATACCATTGTTACAAATAAGGTAGAAATATAACATGGCTACATTCAACCTTGTAACAGGTAATCAGTACATCAGTTAACCAAGTAAACCTCACTAGCGCTAATCAAACCGTTGTGAAAAGACCTACTACGGAACAATACCCGATAGCTTTGTGACTGTTCTGATAGCCTAATTTCATGATACATGTATAACGAACTATTTTTTCAAACAGATGCGCACATACTTATTGAAATAAAATTTTGTTGTATATTTAGTATTGAAATAATAAATGCAGCAATATTGTCAGTTAGATTTTATTCATACAGTGGTAATAGTACATTATTATTTCACTACACTACAAAGCTAGTGATTTTTTTCGTAAAAATGGTTCAACAATCAATTCGATTTGTTCTTTTTTTGTTTTAAGCATACTGAGAGTAGCTTCTTTATTTTTATTGACCCATGATTCTCCATCAAGACAAGCAGAATCGGCAATTTTCTAAAAGCATACAAGATTGAATATCAACGTTATTAGCTAAAAAGTAAATGGTTTATAATGAATTCTTATAAACCATGAGTTAGTTAAACTATAATGAAGTAGATATATTTTATATAGCGGTTTCCGGCGTTGACTTTTGATCATCAGGTTGAGTTGAGAAATTCAATAATAACAAATACAAAACCTGATACAAAATACTTTGCAGATTCCAAATTTTCGCGAAATTCTATATTTTGAGATGAGGCACTTAAATTAATCTGTTTGAAGAGAAGAATTCTCTTTACATTATAATTTAATTTTTATTGGAGTAAAACATCATTGGTCCCAGTTTGTTTGATTGTTAACCTGATGAAATTTTGCGTTTCACTTTCCGTTTCGGTTTCGACCGAATAATACACAAGGTGAGGATATCGCTTTCTGATCATTTTACTACAAAGTAGACATGTACCATAAACATAATTGTTAATTACTGTTAGTTTGTGTTATTCGATAAGATTCCTCCGTTATCCAAAAAGTGAATTCACCTAGCTACTGAAATACAGTTCTTTCAAATGAATTATACAAAATATCTATCTCCAACCTTAGTAATTTACCTAGTATAAGTTTATAAGCAGTATTAGTGAATTGCGTAAATAAACAAAACTATTTATCAAAAACTATAACCTCATATAACCTATTTTTTACGATTAACTTTTTCAATATCTAAATATGCATCAATCTGAATTGTTATGACTGGCATCGTACGTTCGTGCCTTTTTGTGATGTTGCTGCTCGTTTTCAATCTATAATCGATTCACTTTTTTTTCTGCAAAACATATTTACCCTGATTTGTTTACAATTAACAAGGTTACGAAACATTTATAACTAGAGATTAAAATCCATCATGTACATTAAAATTGCATTGACTGAATATATGTAGTTTTAGACTGTTATTTCACTGATTAGAAGATCCCATAAGAAGTGCTTTATTCAATGGAATAAAAGGTCTAGTATGAATAATGTTGAATTGAAACATTAAGAAATAGAATATCAACTTACTCTTTCCTCCTTTGTATAATCATTCTTATCCGAAGTTGCTAAAATTTCTCTGACTAATCGAACAAGCGTAAGAAATTCATCACGACATTCTAAATGTTCATAAATAAAGTAAACAATCTATATGTCAATAAAGTTTACACTGATTACCAATCCATTCTAAAATATACATTGCTTCTTTTTGTTCATATTTAACAGCTAATTTATGTGCAGTTTCACCATGAATATTTTTTTGATAAACATCAACACCAGCAAAATATAAATATTTTATGAGATCAGCTCGATTCCACATCGCTGCATAATGCATCAGATTACATCCTTTATTGTATGTTTTTTTTTTTGAAAATGAATAACTTCAAAAAATTACCATTTTTTCCAATTTTATTTAATTCATTATAACCATTACTTATGGCTTTTTCAATCATATTTCTACAATCTAATATTGTGAATAATTCTATAGCAGAATTATGCATTTCATCATATTCATTCATAGATTGTAAATAACCTGCTGGATCTTTATCGAATTGTTTTAACATATTTTGAACTTTATCATTATCACCTTGAAGAATGAGTTCTATCAATTGAGACATGAATTAAATCTATATATTAAAAAAAAGGTAAAAATGGTTACACTTTTGTGGAAATATAATAATTTAGGGGAAGAGACAAAAATTGTCTAAATTCTATGTAAATCTAGGCATAAAGGTATCCAATGAATTTTATACTTATTTTATGTCATTTGTTATATATAAATATATATAGGAATCTCAGAAATAATCGAAAGCTGATTTTTTGCAAACTTTTAGGAAATCAGCGATTGCTGAAGTTATACACAACTGTGTATAGTTGGAATCTGTAGTTAACATCAAATATACTGCAGTAATAACTAAAGCAATGGTCATTTAGTTATTCATGGGCATTATATGTTCCTTCACGAATATCAAAACATTTTGCATGACCCAATCCACACAATCACAAAAAGATAATGAGAACAGAGAAATAGGAGATAGTAACGATGCAAATAATTGAAAAAAAGCATTTTAACCCACTGTTTAGAAATCGCAGTAAATATTCATGACGATTTGATTAGATTTTAGTACTCACAGTTGGTTTTATTGTTATAACTACTAACTACAACGACACTGTGTCTCCAAATGACCAGTTAAAAAAAATTTATGACTTAAAATTTTTGCGCTCTTTACTCAAAACTGATTACATGATATCAAAAAATCTTTTCACTTTTATAAAAACCCCCGGAAAGGCTTACTTCCTTTAAAAGCTTGCGCTGATATAAACCTGAGTTAAACATCAAAATATCTGATATCCTGGAAATTTTTAGCGGATACTCATCATCAAGATATGATCTAAGAAATATATGCAGTTAAGGAGGTGTTTCTACAACAAAGGCGAACAAAATGAAGTGATAAATTTCCAATACGTTTATCAAAACAGAGTTTTGAAAAAACAAAAATTTTGGTCACTACATACAAACGTACTACGTTAAAAGGATCATCTGCTATGTATGTTTTTGTGGTCTCACACCTATCCAAACATCAACATTGGGTAGTTTAAGACGCTATTTAATTAACTTAGTGAATAACATGGAAAAATTGGTAAGAGTAAGCTTCGCATGTTTACGTGTAATTCAAAAGAACTCACAATAACTAGAAAGACGCTAAAATAACTGCTTTAGAGTTTAGACGATTGGATACATATTGTAGATCTAAGAAATTCTCAACACCTTCTGCAAGGAACACTCTGCAAAAACTTTACATGTCGTCAGTAAATACATTTAAATCCACCATTAACAACATCTTTTGAAATATTATTACAGATACACATAACACTTACAGAATAAAGTAGCAAGTGAGCATGGTATGAGTTTATGTGTATTCTAGTGAAAGAATTAATCGGCACTTGGAGTTTCAGACTGTTCTTTGAAAGTCTTTTATACTGCACTAATTATTCTGAATTCCTTTTTTATCCAATAATATAGATATCCTTAGAAAACTATTTTGTTTATGAAATTACTTTCTATTTAAGAAGTAATTCGTTGTGAACGAAACAAATTACTCCTATATTCATTAATAATACATAACTGATTTATATTATATATTTCTTATCTTAAACCATTGTTTTCTAGTTACATGCCTCACATTTTATGGAGTTTTTCATTACGAAATACTTTTCCTCTCTTAACACTTGATTTTTGATTCGCCGTTTTAAAATCGCTCTAATCCAGTCTAATAATAACTAAGCTTTTTGAACCCTGGAACCTCATTTAACAAACAATCCTCTGGTTGGAGACATTATAGTTATTGTTGAAGTCAAACTATAGATAATTAACCCTGAACTACGCCTGTAGCCCCTGTGGGGCTTCTGCCGGCCTAAGCCCAGATACATCAGGATTGGGTACCGGGTTGTGGAGCCATCCCGGCAGAAAACCATCTCGCCAAACAAAGTGCTAACGAGAAAAAACAACTCAAACAATTTAAAATCTTCTCTGGGAGTTAGAAAGTCTTCATCTAGAAGAGTTGTGACGTCCGATGCTGAAAGCCGAGTTCCTTCGGAAGTCACGAAGCCGATGACCCTTCCGATCGAAGCCCTTCCACGGTGTGAGCAGCCGGGAAGTAACTTCTGGCCTCATACACGTAAAAGTACACGAAACCGAATCGATCACAACCATATCCCTTTTATGCCTCCTAACCACTCTCTTATCTCCATGACCAACGCTTCTTTCGTTTTTCTGTCACATCGTGCCGCTCGAACAAACGATTCGAATTCATGAAGCGTTATTCCCGGTCTCCTGAAGCAACGCCCTAAACTATATATCAGAGCTTTTATTGTTCGAACCGGAGTTGATTGATAATAATTAATTTTTGAATGCTCTAAATCACTAAAAATATCTACTTTGTGGCCAAAAATGAGTGCATTTAGGTTGAACTACAAAACATGCCAGCTCCTAGGGTAGATTAAACATAAAGTACCTGACGTGATTCAACATGTAGGCAAGAATGTTCTCTAAAACCAGATAGTATTCATTATTTCTAAAACAACTCCAAGTTTCTCAAGTTTGTGTGCTGAAGGGATGTAGAGAAGAACATCATTGTTGATATTTGTTCTTGGTTAAAACCATAACCATGATTTTCAAGCTGAATCCAAAACTCCACCTAACTTCTAATACCTATCCAAAACATTGCTGCATTATAACCGATGCCATTTAATGAAAATAAACTATACAGGTGGATTGACCCAACTCACACTACTGGTCAGACTCACAAGATTTAAACTTTGTCTTTTCCCTCAACTACATAAGATAATTTAACACTTGAAGGCTTACTATTCACATTGCAGTTATTGCTTTATTGTTGATTTATTGCTTTTCATCCTTTATTGTTTTATAATCATTCAGCATTTCCTGATCATCTGATAAGTGGCCAACGTCGTCAGTATAGTGTGCCTCTACCTACAGATCTAAAATAATGAATACAGATAATTATATGTCCTAATAATATATGCCATCAAACTTTAGACCGAGTGTGTAACTACGGTACATTTATATGCCCAAGCATGTACGATCAAACTGCATAGACAGACAGCCTTTATTTCTGATTCCTCTTCAATGTTAATTTCATTCAACCTAATTAGATAAATCAACAATACATTTACCATAAAATAACTAAAAGCCTGAAAACTCATCAAATTGTTTGTAAACTAAGGTTAAACTAGGCCTAAAGAGTATTCGTGGTGATTATCACACAATTTCACGCACACAAATGCAATAAAAACCCAAATAAAGCATGTTACAATTAAATATGCTTAATCGATTCTCTTGGCTTCGTGCCCAGTTTTATGGTCAGTCGTAGATTCTTATCATCAAACTTTTTCAATTCATTTTTGTTCACCTCCTACAATTCTTATTTAATCAACTGTCTGGTAATTATCCACTGTATTTCGGTCACTGAACGCTGAACATACTTCAGAACATAACACACCATTTCTGTACAACACAATACAATTCCTAGTCACCATAACCCTGATATAATAACGGAATACCTTTACGCCATTGTATTTTCTACAAAAATTAAGTTTTTTAAGTATCGCAATACTATCCTACTTCTAATTCCAGCATATTTACGGGAAGGGTAGATTGAAGTGTTAAATGAATATTTATTCATTCCCACCCCATCTTCATTCTAATAATGTAAATATTTCCTTCAAATGGCTCCACGATTTTAATATGCAACATATAGTATTACTGTTTACGTTCTCATTCAACCATCTCGGTATCGATCATCTACAATGACGATATAGATATTGCAGAGGAACTAGAAATCATACTATTTCAAATAGAGAATAAATGGCTTTTGTGGAAGAGGCATGGTTTCGACTGTACGACAAAACATAATAACACTTAATTTTCAGTAACCACTAATAATTATAGGGGTGAATAATTCACGAATAAGAGTGTGAAGTAGAAACGGATAGGGATTCAGTAAACATAGGGAATGTGCCTATATTTATCAGTGAAAGAGACTGAAAACAACTGATAATAACAAAAGAGTGGGTTCTGGGGAAGTTGAATAAAGAAATCGAGTTCTTAATGAACGATTTTAAATGCGTTACACAAGAGTATATTTGAGAAATCAACAAAACGTAGTCAATAGTAGCAAATGTTCAAGTATCCAATATCTGTTTATCAAATATATCCAATATTTTTTTCAAGAAATAGTGTAAACCAATTGATTTCCTTGCGCTCGATTCTTGTTCTTTCGGCACGATTCCAGGTGTTCAGTGGTGTCCAATGGATGAGGGTCTAGACACTCGACTGTCTAATTCTAGTCAGTTGCCAGTTGATTGTGAGTCTGTATGCCTCGATATTCGAATGAAAACACTTGTTTCAGGGCAGTAGGGTTTCTGGATACCAACAGCTATCACAACACCAGACCGGAGGTCAGTTAGTTGCAATGGGGAGAGTAATAAGGATAATAAGGATAAAATTCTAATGTTAATATGAATAAAATTTAAGAACTAAGTAATATATAGGTGATTTGGTTTACTAACTGGTAGCGAAGATTGTGAGAGAGGACCGTAGTGTAAGCAGAGATAACAGGCAAGATAGATTAAGCAAGTGATCTGAGGAGATGGCAGTGATAACAACTAGCGGGTCTCAAGATATGCATCATGAACAGCTTGTCCAAGATGGAGATGATAATCCGTATGTGAGTACGTGATTATCATGTCTCTCCTTAAAGCTGTCCACTGAGGGGCTGTGGTCACCTCGGCTGGGAGAGCATTCCTAGTTGCGACGGCTCGCGATGGGAACAAGTGTGCACGAATCTGAGTATTCGCTCTTTGATGTGCAATCTTTCGAGGATTGCCTCGAGGAGAGTAGTGGTGATGCATCGGTAAGATGCTCTCGTTGGGATGGTTTGGCGTTCTTAATATGTTGTACGCGATAATCAGAACACCTCTGGTTCTCATACAGTTCAGTGGAAATAATCCCAAGTATTGGAGTCCATCATCGTAAGGTTGGTTTCTCAACCCTATTACCCATTTGGTTGCTCGTCTCTGCACTCAGTCAAAAAGATTTATGTCTCTTTTAAGCAGAGGTGGTGCGATGACGTTGTGAACCTCAAGGTGTGGGCGCGCATACGTCTTTAATAGTGTAAAAAATAATTGCGGCGTGATAACACCAAGTTGTCTTCGCACAAAGTGAAGGGTCGCATTCACTTTGGCTGCGTCCCCTACATAGTTCGGAATCTGTGGTTATTAAACCGAGATCGCTCTCTGAGGAGGCATTAATGAGAGGACTTCCATTTACGGTGTAGATCGTTTGCGTCGTGTGAGGCAGAATATGCATGACGTGGCACTTCGGTTGGTCGAGTTTTAAACCGTTTTTCACTACCCATTCCTCAATGGATGTAAGGTCCTTTTGAAGCTCAGCCGAATCCTCTTCGCTTCTAATGGACCTCCAGATTTTCTCATCGTCGGCGTAGATCAATGCCGGTGAGTTAAGTGAGCCTAATAGGTCGTTAATAAATATCAGGGAGAGAAGCGGGCCTAAGATGGTCTTCTGTGAAACTCCCAATGTGGATACTCGCCAGCTCGTGTGCACTCTAATTACCTTGGTACGAAACTTTCTATTCTCAAGTTAGTTTCTGAGCAAAGATAGGAGTGGGTCAGTGAAGCCTATTCCACAACCTTCGTGATTAGGCGAGCGTGGGGTACTGTGTCAAAGGCTTTTGCAAAGTCAAGAAATATTACGTGTACAAGCTGTTACAAAGAGACTGATTTATTCACACTCGGTTCCAAGCATTTGGTGG